GGAAGGAAGGAAGGAAGGAAGGAAGGAAGGAAGGAAGGAAGGAAGGAGGGAGGGAGGGAGGGAGGGAGGGAGTAGTTTGCAGCCCTTTGTGTGCACTGTGGTACACTTGATCTGCCATTCCCAGTGGAGTGGGGGCGGCCCTTCATCTTTCCCTTCAGCTCAGGCAGCAAAATGTCATGGGCTCCCCTTCACATAAAAGTTCTTGCTGGCTGCTGGGCAAAGGTGATCCTCTGAGGCTTGCCAGCATACCTTTCAAAAGTGCTGACTGCCTTTTCGAAATTGAGGCTGGCATCCAGCATTGGGCTAAGCTGGGGAGGGTTAGGTAACATTTTAATCATTTGCGTATCTCACTGCAGCTTCTGGAATTTGCTTTTTTGTTTTTTAATGGTACAACACAGCATGAAGCAGGCAAGAATTAGTGGAGCAGCTAGAAGAGTCAACAATAAATCGAAGATGGGGGATAGAAATTCTTTCCAAACAAAATTCTAGAAGGCTTGCCAAATAAAAAGGGCACACCCTTGACGCTGGCCCTGCCTATGTAGCCAAATTTATGCATAAGATAATTAAGCATCATTTACCTGCAAGCTTGAGAGAATCCTGGGGTTTGCCAAGGTCCAAAAATATCTTCAGGAGTAAACTTCTTCCCATATCAACCCCAGCTAGCTTGAACATGCCACCTGGACATGGATTTCTTTTAATTTTATTTATTCATTTATTTATTTTGAGGAGGAGGGAATGGAAGACTGAGGTGGGTGGGATGGAGTAACTAGAAAGCTAAACAGAAGCAATCTGCTGTACGGTGTTTTGTCAGAGGTATGAATTGTATATGTTTTTTGTCCATCTCAACAAGTGCTAAGAAACTAGATGCAACACATACTTACTATCCCATGAAGAAATGAGGCATTGCTGTTAAAAAGCTCCCGAGAGACATGATAAAACAACCCAGGCCAATTATCCTTGGCCGATGAAGTTTTGCCCCGAAGTAACTCACAAACGCAATCACCAGTAAGTTGCCTGGAAAATAAAGTAGACCATGACCAAAGAGGGATATTTAGGGATCAGTAATGCAGCATCGATCCTCACTAGTCCCTTAGGTCTCCAAGTGTCCTGGCAGTTGACAGCTGGGGAAATAGTGCTTTTTGGGTGGCCTACATCCCTCTTCAAATGATTAGCCAGCAGGTTTCACCAATACAAAAACCTTGTGGTGCCATCCAGGTGTCAAGATCTGGGCTGCTCTGGTGGCCAGAACCAGAACAACTGCCACTGCATTTGCAGGATTGGGTCCCAAGATCTGCTGGATCTCTCATTCTACTGATGAGCACCAGCTGGGAGCTGTGGAGGAAGAGCTATATAAAAGCAGCTCTTCTGTTCAGAGCTGGCCTCAGCAACACAGGTTTGCCTGGCCTGACAATCCCTGCTCCCTGCCATGTTGCCTTTCTGTTGTGCCTGCCCCTTGCCTGCCCTATATCCTGCCTTGCTGTGTTGCCTCAGTGATGCAGGGCTTCCTGTGAGCTGTGATTCATCTCCTGCATCTTGCCTCATCCTTGCTGCATCTGGTTCCTGCTGTGTCCTGTCTCCTGCCATGCTGCATCTCCCACCCTGTTATCTTATTCAAGGTACCTGCACCTCTGTCCTCCTGGTTCTTGACCCTGGGCTTGTTCCAGACCTCATCCTTGTTCTGCCCTCATGCATTCTTCTGGCTCCTGATCTCAGCCTGTACCTTGATTATGATCTGGACCTGCTCTGAAACCCTGCTTTTGGAGTCTGTCTTCCCTGAGGTTCTGTTACCCTGGTTCTGGTGCCTCTATTGCTCTCATCCCATCTCTGGCTGCTTACATCCCAGACCCTCGCACCAGTGCGGGTCTGCTCAGACATGAACCTCACTGTCTTCAATGGGGCATTTCTCCAGGTGAGTGTATATAGGATATGGGTTCATAGGGTTCCCACCAGAAATTGAGCCCATGTGGTGTGCAAGCAGCACCATTCTTCCATGGCCACCACTCCCACAGGTGGAAGCATGCCAGGGAGAAGTTTGGCTTCCAGGAATGGCAGCTGTGGAGGGTTGCCAGCTGTGCAACAAGAGCTCTTCAAATGCTTCCAGGGTCAGCTTGCTTCCTTAGAGAGGCACGAGCACCAGAAGTCATCCCACAATGAAGAGGATCCTGGAGAGGCTCAGCCTACTGAGTGAGGAACTGTAGGACCAAGAGATTTGCACAAGGCCAGCCATGCCAGTGATTTTTACTTTTTTAATTTCAGCTTTGGAATCTGTAATTAAACTGTTGCCAAGTTACTGCAAATCATAGATCTGTGAGTAGATCCTGGTTGATGTTCTAAGAATGAGCATCTTCTTGAACAGCTGGGCATGAAGAAGAGATCTTGAAAAGCTTGAACAACCATTGGGAGAATCTATGTGGTTTCGTGATGTGCTCTTCCCACCAAGGCTGTCTGTGCAGTGTCACCAGAAGGGCAGGAGGGAGGGACAATTAACTGCAAGTGTATTTCCCCTGAAGTCTAGCTTTCCCACCACCCCAGTAAGTTCCCAATTACCCAATTCAAAGCCGCCATCCATGATTCCAGCGGTAGAGGAGGAAATGCCAAATCTCCTTTCCAACTGTGTGAAGCAACTTTTCATTATGGAGCCAGAAAACACTTTACTGAAGTAGGTAAATGACAGAGCAGCAATGAAGACCTAACAAGAGATGGAAGAGGAGAAAGACATCAGTAAGGACAAGTTCATGGTGGGATATCTCAGGAAAAAATAGGTGGCAACTCTCAAAGTTTTTCTTCATGAGGCTTATTCCACTGCATGTACTTGCAGTTTCATTGGAGAACTGAGGTCTGAAGTCTACACAAAGAACTTTCCTACTTTCCCACATAGGTGGAACGCTGCTACTGTGGAATAACACAATTATACAAGTGGGAGAATCAGCTTCTGTTTACTTTTTCAAAAGGTAATCAACTTTAGCTGCCCTATAATCCCTTATAAAAGCACTGTCTAAAAACAGAAGCAGAACTGGACACTTGTGTAATAAGAAATGATAAAGATAATAAGAAATGATAAATGCACAATACGTGCCTTGTGTAGAAAAGCTCCACGGCAGCACCAACCTTGAATCAGGAATTCAAGCCCAGAGTTTTAAGATCCAAGTATTCAAAGTCCTGGGTCAGCTGGGATGTTTCAATTTTACCTTCTTTAAATTCAATTAAAAAACCCTTTTTTCTGAATTCTTTCTGAAAGAATTTCTGAATGCTGGCACATTCTTATAAAAAACAAACCAAACTTTCTCTCTTTCCTACTCACTTAGCCCTGCAAAACATTACAAATCAAAATGTTTTTCACCAAGCAGCTGTGCCTTTTCATCTGCTCAGCCCTATCCTTGGTTAGCTTTTTTGGTTATTCCATGGTGTTCCCAAAGACAGAGTTCTGCAACTGGCCATTGATACAGAAAGGCCTCATTTCTCATCCACTTTAACTATGCAGGAACACTACGAAGTCCCTATTTCACTAAGCATCACAACACACCTGTGTTGTAATTTATCAGTCGGCACAAACATCCTTTTACAAAACAAAAGTTGAAGTGGAATTGAGAACTCCTCTACCCTGGATTCTGCAATTCATATTTGCGTATATTAATGGAACACTGGCTGACAATTGCTTAAATATTATCCAGTTTTGTCAACACAGACTTCTTGTTTTTTGAGGTGATCCCAAAGCAAATAGATTAATGGCATAATATCACTTGCATAACATGAGTACAGATGAGTAAACAAAATCAATTGAGATCTGAACTTTGTGATACTATTCAGTACCCTCTGGAAAAGTAGCAGCAGTTTGCAATCAAAAGGTCAGATTTTAGTTTGCTCAGGCAAAAGGGCTGAGCTCCCTATCAGGACTGGAAAATCTTACAGGACAAGCCTTCTTGCAAATATTTCAAGAGGTGTATGATGTGACAGAGGTGGGCAGGTCTCAAGCAGATACCTTGGCTCCAAAGCTGTTGTTCCTCCAGAAAGCAGTGAAAGACACAATGAACTTTACTAGACAATCTGATGTCCATCCCATTTCCCAAATATTAAGAGTCTTCGCAGTCACTTTTTGTTCTCAGCACTCAACAGGGCTGTCAGCAAATGTGGTCATCTCAGTGGTTGCTTCTCATTCCAGTTCATTTACTTATTACTTTTACATCCCACATCTTATATTCGTCTTGTAAGGAAAAGCACTCAGGCACTGACTATGGGTCTGTTGTTGAAATGTGGAAGGTTGTATAGTCTGAACCCAGCTGTGCCAAGAAGCCATGGCTTGTTAAACCATGAAGAACTCATCAAGAGAAACTATGGGTTGTTATTGGGTTGTTCATTGTGTATTTGTGTTTATCACAGCTTTATTCAGACAACACAAGCGCCATGTTTCAACAAGCAATAGTTCAGTGACCACCCACACTCATCCTTCAAGTATTCATTACTATGTTGGCGGAAGCCAGTTGTTAACCTCAGGACTAGCCACAGGTTTCAGGGTCTTCCCCCAGTGCCTCTGGCTGGACCTTTCTTGATCTCTCAGCCTTGCCAGCTATGAGCGGCTGCAGTGCTCTGATGAATGCCAAGCAGCCCCCAACAGTAGTATTTTCAACAGTGCCTGGGAGCAGTCCTCTCTTGGGGGCATTGTGGGAAATCAAAATGGCACCTCCTGGACCAAGCTGCCTGGCACACACAAAAGCACCAGGGAAATGTGTCCCAAGCACCACCGGGGGGCAGCTGCCTGAGGCCAGTCATGGAAACTGGCTTGGGTAAGAAGCACAGACCTGACACCCGATGATTCCAATTGGTTCTCATGCAATGATTCTCACTTGCGTGAGGAGTGCTATTACCTGGGCTCAGCAGGGGAACATGTGAATTGCAATAAGTCCAAAGCAGAGCTGCTAAGTGACTGACTGAGACTAGTACAAATGCTTATACGACGCCAGTGCTCCATCAGCAGCAGCACCTTCTGGTCGGTTTGTAGGACTGATCTACATGGTGTCCCTGTTGACCTCTGAAATCCTTAATACTTGGGGCCAGTGTATCTCAAGAATGCCTCTTCCCATGTGTGCCTGCTCAGAGACTCAGGTCATCTTTAAAGTCTTTCTCGGTGTGTTCCCACTGAATAGGTTGAGGAGGTGATGTTTCCCAGTTGTGGCACTCCAGCTATGGAATGCCCTCTCTGTGCAATCTCAGCTGGTTCCCACACAGCCACCATTTTGCATTAAACAAAAACGTTCCTCTTCTCCTGGGCATTTTAGACATCTTAGATTTTTATTATTGTGTCTGTTTTTAACCTGCTTTATTGTGTGAACTTCTTATTGTAGAATGGTATATAAATAATGTACTTAATATTATATAACAACAGGGTGAGCAGTTTGGGAGTGCTCTTCGACCCGGAGCTGTCCCTGGAGCCTCAGGTAGCAGCAGTGGTGAAGAGAGCTTTCCTTCAGCAAACGTTGATCCATCATCTGCATCTTTACCTGGATGAGCAATGCCGAGCAATGGTGACCCATGCTCTGGACACTTCCCAAATGGACTATTGTAATGTGCTCTATGTGGGGCTGCCCTTGAAGACAGTCCGGATGCTTCAATTGGTTCAGAATAGAGCTGCCAGGATATTAACAGGCACCGGCAGGTAAGCACATATAGCGTTGGTCCTTTACCATCTACACTGGCTACCAATTGGAGTCCGAGCCCAATTTAAGGAGCTGGTGATGACCTATAAAGCCCTAAATGGCTTGGGTCCTGGGTACCTGAAGGAGCATCTCCTTCCCTGTGTGCATTCCTGCCCTGAAGATCTGGTGTGGAGGTCCTTCTTCGGGAGCCTTTCCTGAAGGAGATTAGGAGGGGGGGCTACCCAGAGAAGGGACTTCTTGGCGGTGGCACCCCAATTATGGAATACGCTCCTCAGAGATGTTTGCCTGGCACCGACTTTGTATTCTTTTCGGCTCCAAGCTAAAACTTCTCTATTTATCTAGCCAGGGCGACTTCTTTTATAACTTCTTTTATATCTTTTATATCTTTTATTTATTTTATATTGTTAATTTTAATTTTATATTGTTATTTTTGTATTTTATTGTATTTTATTGTGTTGTAAGCCGCCCTGAGGCTTCAGCAAGGGGCGGCATAGAAATGTTCTAATAAATAAATAAATATTTACCCATTATTTTAAAAGTTTATTAGGTTTTAATGTATGGTTTTATTATTGGATGCTATGCTTCATTTTTATTATGTTTTTATTGTAAGACCATCCTGAGACAGTAGTAGTCAGATGGTATACAACAATTTTAAATAAATAAATAAACTAGGAAAGTCTGAATCTCAGTCATTCTGGTCTTGTACCCAATATCAGACAGAATAAAAGAAGTTCTCAGAAGCTTTCAGTGGGGAGATGGAAGGAGGTAAGCACAGCAGAAGAGTAAGAAAACCGTAGTTTTGACTGGGAGCAGGGCTGGCAGTCACAAATAAAGTATTGTTTGGAAATATCGGAATTATTTCTTAAGGAGGCAGGGGCAAGCACAAATGTTGGACACCCTGTTTGATGACAAGCACTGCCAAATGGACTGGAAGGCACCTAAAAATAAAGGAATTAGTATCATAAAGCCAAAACATATAGAATGTGCTTTTAAGCCACTGTAATAATTGGGTGTCCACTCAACCTTGAGCCCTCTGTGGCGTGTCGGTTTTCTCTTGGCTGCTTGTTGCCGATCCATGTCATCCTCCAAAGATGTGGTGTCAGGTTTTGCTTCTTTGATGGAGCCATTCAAGTTCTCCAAGTCCACCGGCATCATGATTTCTTGTCTTGAAGGATTTCCCTGTTTCCCACAAAGGAAGCCTTCAAGTTATTGACTCAGAAGACAGTCATTATTATTCTTTTCAACCATTTCACTACTCATTTCTTGGGATGGGGAGGTGGGTGAAGGGACCATCAAATAATTCAACCATAAATCATTTAGTGCAATCCAGTCCTGAGAATCTTTGCTGCAATGACGTTGACCATGCAATAACTGGTTAGGAGCTGCCTTGACTCCAGTAAAGCACTGGGAGAGGAGGCCTCAGGCCAACCCTGGCATTTGGGTTGAGGTGCCCACCTTCCTGTGGAAAGCACCTCAGCCTGACTGCCAGAGGAAGGCTTAAAAGAGAAGGCCTTTGCTAAGTCTTCCACTGTTAAGCCGGGCAGACCAATTGTTGTGTTCTCAGCATCAATGCAGTGACAGCTATTTGCTTATTTAGAACTTTTATAGCTACCTGAGTATGTCCAATTATCTCTCAATCAGCTGACTCCAAGAACCAATCACAATCTACCAGGCTGTATATAAAGCCTTGCCTCACAGCCTGCTCCCCAGTCAGACCATCTCAGCTCTGACATGAGAAGGATGCCTAGACGGGTGGCAGCAGTGGCGAGGAGCGCTATCCTTCAGCTTAGACTGATCCACCAGCTGCGCCCTTACCTGGATGATCAATGCCTACCAACGGTGACCCATGCTCTGGCCACTTCCTAACTGGATTACTGCAGTGTGCTCCATGTGGGGCTGCCCTTGAAGACGGCCCAGATGCTTTAGTTGGTTCAGAATAGAGCTGCCAGGATGTTAACGGGGACTGGCCGGTATGCACATATAACACCGGTCCTTTATCAGTTACACAGGCTACCAATTGAAGTCTGGGCCCAATTTAACTTGCTGGTGGTAACCTACGAAGTCCTAAATGGCTTGGGTCCAGGGCACCTGAAGGAGTGCCTTCTTCCCTATGTGCCTTCCCACCCCTTCAGATCTGAGACAGAGGCCTGTTCCGGGAGTCCTCCTTGAAGGAGATCAGGAGAGCGGCTATCCAGAGAAGGACCTTCTCTGCAGTGGTACCCCAACTATGGAAAACGCCCCCCAGAGAGGTTCACCTGGTGCTGATGCTTTATTCTATTTGGCATCAGGAGAAAACTTTTTATTTTCCCATTATTTTAATGTCTAGTTGGTTTTAACTGGCATTTTATTATCTTGAGTTGCTGGATGCTGTGCTTGTTTATTTGTTCTTCTGTTGTAAGCTGTCCCGAGACGCCAGTGGTGGATGGGTTAGAAAAACTTTTAAATAAATAAACAAATAAATAGACTTCCTGTCCTCAATTACCACCTTGAGTTGCATCAAACAACATTGGCCCATGAGATTTCTTGGTATTTGAGAAAGTTTTTCCCCCCTTCCACATCTCAAGTCCCAGTTCAGCAGTCTAACCACCACACAACACTGTCTGTACCCTGAAAATTTACTTACTGAATTTTATGACATTTGTTTTATACTGTCTGTCTGTCTTCCCTTCCTATACGATACCTTCAGAATGTTCCACCCCTAAAAATGACCTACAACAATTATACCTACTAACAATGAATATACCACATTCATCATGGCTGGCACAGTCCAAAGGGAAGGGAAGGGAAAGATCTTTCCTTTCCCCCCACCCCACATTTTAGGGTGGCAGTCTGGGACTGGTAGGCAATATCTGGCCAGCCATGGGAAAAGCTGGAGTCCTCACTGCAATCCTGGCAGAGCCTTTTGAGGACAGAGTGACGATGCTCTCGTTCAAGGAGACCCCTCTGCTCTCTCAACTGGTGCAGGTCTTTCCAAGCTGACTGGGGACCTGATGATGGAAGACCATCTCCCTTACACGTGACTCTGGGCCAGCAGAGAGGAGAGGGTTCAGGCACCAGCATTTTGGGCAAGATCTAGCTCCTTGTTATGAGGAGGAAGATACTGAGACTTTTAACACTGGCCTGCTAAAGGGGAGTACAAGGCAATCCTCACCTCAGAACTCATCCTGCACTTGATTGGATGCGTGGAACCTACTGGGCTTGGAAGGTCATGGGTGACCACCTGGGATTGTACCCTTAGACTCTTTACAAGGAGAGAATTTTCCCCATAAAATGCTCTTAAATTTCATCAGGTTGTTGCTGTCCCATTTTATCTGAATATACCCAATAAACATATTCAAATCTTTTGCAGAATTTTCCCCTGGCCTTCCCTCTAGAACCTGAAACTGTACTCCTCCTATCTCATTCTTCCTTCTTTGGGTAATTTCCCTTGAACATCCAGCTTTCAGAGAAGTACTATCTGCCCAGTCCTGTAGTACCAAACACCCAGGAGCCATCCTAACTCAATGCAAACTACACCTTCTTGGAAGAATATCTCACATGACCATTCACGGTACAGAGTGCCCGTCAGCCTTCTGCAGTATGACTGAGCCATCCAAATAGAGGCTATGCTGTCTGTGCAGGAATTGCTTTGTGTCAGCTGCAGCAGTTAATGATCTTTCCTTGTATTTCCTCATCTAAATCATTAATAAAAATATTGAAGAGCACCTGTCCCAGGACAGAACCCTGTGGCACCTCGTCACCTCTCCCCAGTTTGAGAATGTGCCACTGGTGGATGCTCTTTGAGTCAGACAATTGTGGATTGTCAATTGTAGCGGCCAATTGTGGATCCACCTAATGCTTGCACTATCTAGCCTGCTTTTTGCTAGTTTTATAATCAGGATATCGTGGGGCACTTTGTCAAAGATGACTGGATTTTGTCCACAACATTCCCATAGTCTATTCGGGAGGATATCCAGTTTAAAAAAAAGTGAAATTAGATTTGTCTGAAATGATTTGGTATTGAGAATCCAAGCTGGCTTCTAGTGATTATCACATTATCTTCAAAGTGTTTGCAGATTGTTTTATAATTTGCTCTAGAATTTTTCCTTGGATTGATGTCAGACTAACCAGTCTATAGTTCCCAAGTTCATCTGTTTTTCCCTTTCTTGTAGATGGGGACATTCACCCTTCTCCAGTCATCTGGCGCTTTTCCTGTCTTCCATGAATTCTCAAAGATTATACATAGTGGTTCTGAGAGTTCTTCTGCTAGCACTTTTAAGACGGATGAAGTTCATCAGGCCCTGGAGATCTGAGCTCATTTAGCCCAGTTAAAAGATCCTTGACCATTGGCCTGTCAAACTTGGGGTGCCCTCCTGCCCCTTCAGTTTGTACTACATCTTCATCAGGGAGGTTGTAATTCTTCTTTTGGGAAAAGACTGGGCCAAAGTAGGATCTGAGCACTTCTGCCTTTTCTTTGTTCTCCATTATCATCGCTCTGTCCACAGTGAGTGGCTGAACATTCTTCTCTTTCATCTGCCTTTTGCTTTGGACATATTCAAAGAGGACTTTAATGTTGTTTTTAAATCCCCTCACTACCCTCAGTTCATTCATCGCTTTGGCCTTCCTGATGTCATCCCTGCAGTTTCTTGATACTTATATTCTTCCTTTGTAGCCTGGCCTTCCTTCCACCTCTTATACATGTTCTTTTTGTTTTCAGATTTTATCTTAGCTGTTTGTGAAGCCGCATGGACTTCCTCTATTGTCTACTACTCTCTTTCCATGTTGGAATTGTTTGTAGTTCTGTTTTAAGCATTTCTTTTTTAAGGCATGCCACCCATCTTGGGCTCTTTCCCCCTTTAGATTGGCTTGCCATGGGATTTTGTGGATCATCACCCTGAATTTGTTAAAGCTCACTTTTTGAAATCCAGGGTACATGTTTGGGTACACTTAGTTTTAGCTACCTTTATTACCGAGAATCCAAGTAAGGCAAGCTCACAGTCCCCCAGAGTTCCCATAGCTGTTACTTTGTCCAGTATGTCTTCCCTGTTGGTTAGAATCAGTTTGAGTAAATCCTTGTTCCTTCTTCGACTTTCTGCTGGAGGAAGTTATCAGTTATGCAATCTCTTAGAGGGACTGTGTTTGACAGAGTTTGACTCCCAAGAGGTATCAGTCCCCCATAATGACAACATCATGTCTCCTTGAAATATTGGCAATTTATTTTTTTCCAAAAATTTCATCTTTATCCTTTTGATTGGATGGACGATAATATAATCCAACTATGTTGCTCCTTTTATTCTTTTTTCTGCTTATATTAATCCAGATACACTTGGATTATTAATCCAGATACACTTGGATTAAGAATCCAGTGATAGATGCGATCACTGGATTCTTCTTCCTGTATTTCTTCGCAGAGATATGTATCTTTAACTTAAAGTGAACTCTGCCTCCTTTTCTGTTACTTCGAGCCGTTTTGAACAGGTTGTATCCTGCAATCTTTTAGTTCCATTCAGGGCAGCCATCCCACAGAGTTTCTGTTATGCCTATGAGGTCATATTTGCCCTCTTATACTAAGAGTCCAAGTTCATGTTGTTAGTTTCATACCTTGGGAATTGGTGCATAGACACCTAAGGCCACACGAATTATTCCCTGGCTTCTTTCCTACATTTTTGAGAGGCAAATGATAAACCCACCTAGAGTTTCTTTCACTGTTGCAGTATATAATCCTTCGTCCACTGATGTTGCACCCAGATGTACAGTATGTCTCCCTTACCTGTAGAATTCAGTTTAAAGCCATCCTGATAAACTTCTTCACACTGTGGTGAAGTTCATCCTTTCCTTTCTTTGTAAGGTGCAATCCATTGCTTGCCAGCGGAGTCTTCCTGGAAGCTTAGTTGTGGTTCCAGAACCCAAATCTCTCATGGCTGCACCACCATTGTAACCAGCAATTCACATGGAGTATTTCCTCCTGTCTTTTCCTCTTCCATGAACTGGAAGGATTGAGGAGAAAACTACCTGAGCCCTAATGTTCTTAATTTTCTTCCCTAAATTTCCTTTCCTAAGGAAGTCTGGCATAATTCCCTCAAAGCTCCTGCTGGAAGTGTTGCTGGTTCCCACATGAATGAGAAGAAAGAAATGTGTGTTAGTGGATTGTCCATTGGCAGGTTGTATGAGCATTGGCAGTCTGTGAGTCGTATCCAGTGCTTTTTTGTAAATAAATAAAAAAAACGTGCCGGAACTCATGTCTTGGGGTCACACTTTTACACAATGGTCGCCGCCGGCAGTAAGCACTCAGCGTGCGACCACACAACCGATCCCAAGCCGAGCAGCGTCCCAAGCCGAGCAGCGCCCTCACAATCAGCACCGACAATCTGTGCTGACACACAAGCAGCCCGCAGGCACTATGTTAATGATTTCTGCCACCGATCTGCTACGCCCAACAGGGCGATTCACAATCACTTGGAAAAATCCGTCAAAAAACGGTGTCGGAACACTGTTCCAGTGTGTTCTATGACAAAAAAAAAAAAAAAAAGCCCTGGTTATATCATTGATCTTTGCTTCTGGCAATTCCAACCTATGTGTTTTACCATCTTGTGCAACAGAGAATCTCCAGCAACTATCACTCTTCTCCGTTTGCTGTTGCAATCTTTGGTGCTTTTTTCTTTACTCGATTGGCCTTGTGCCTCTTTCTCAGAGTTACTCAGTGTGTCATGTAGTTCCTTCACAGTGGGTCTCTCACTCGCCTCTTCCTCAAGGAACTTAAAGCAGTTTGGGAGTCCCCCCACTTCCGCTGGAGCAGAACATCTTCTATATTCTATAAGAGAATATCTTTCTCTTTCCCTCAAAGTTCTCTTCTTGTGCCTCAGCTTGTTGATGTGCTTCTTGCTCCTGTTCTCCTCTTAGCTGTTGCAGTTCCAAGAGTCTACAAACCCTCCATCTTCTTTTATGACCTCGCGGAGGGACACTCCCTGTTCCAGTGCTCTCACCTTTTCTTCTCACAGGGCTACTCGCTCGCATTTATAGCACACGTAGGTCATTATGCTCTCAGGTAAGAAACAAACATTGCACAGAAGTTCCTCAGTTCGATAAAGCTTTACTTGGTTAGCCTTGAGTGTCTGATAAGGTCTTGCACTTCACTAGGACTAAGTATTTTTAAAGGAATCTCAGATATCCTGAAAGCATTCTTCTCTCTTTCTAATGCCTGTCATTATATATGTGGGCAAAACTGCATCATGCAGCCACTAGTAAGGTCAGAAGAAATTTGGAGTTAGCAGGAGTACAAAAGTATCTTAGGGTGGGTACGTGGGTGATGGGCCCAGAAGAACCCAAGGAAATGCCATAAATGCTGACTCCTTTACATAGGGCAGCCCTCCATTTGAGAATATTCTTTGAAGGCTTGCCCAGCCCAATTCCAGTTTAAAGGAAATTAACCATTAACCCTCACACTGTATAGCAGACTAAGCAAGGGAGCAGGCAGACTTCCTGTTCCAGCCTCCCACACTTTGGCAAGGTGGATTTCTGCTGAATTTACCCTCAATGCCCTTAAAGCTGCGTTGATCCATAGAAATCAGCACATGCAGCCCACTGCCCTCTTCTGGTTCTCCTTTTGCTGTCTTTCTGGGTAATGCATTTCATGGTTTGGGACCACTTGTAAGAGTCCCCTCCTCCAATGCTGTCTGGCAGTTGGAGGGGAAAAAAAGAAAAACCGGGGGGCGGGGGAGGACTGGAACACCTTAGCTGTTATCCTGACTGTAACCGCGAATGGAGCGCTCCACGGTGCAACAGTTTGTTGCAACTTGCGCTTATATGCGCTGTGTACCCATCGAATGCCTGCAAAGCCTTTACAGTTGCTCTGCACAGTACAGAGGTCTGGCTCCCAGCCAAACCAAGAGACGATTTGAGGGACCAGATACATAGGACAACAGCTTTCTAGATCTTTGAAAGCTCTGTAAAGCAGAATGTGGCCAAATGAGTTCATAAGAAAAAAAGTGGGGTATAAAACTAATAAGCAAACGAACAAATGGGCATGTCATGAGCGGCTGGAGCCGGGGGTCAGACTAGATGGCCCGGGAGACCCCTTCTGACTTGCTCTGTTTCGATGTCTCACCTAAGCTTGGCAACCTACACCTGCTTTCCACCTTCTGTGAGAGCTAGGAGTGTTGAATGCCCTCTTTCTGCGTGCTGCTCAGCCACAGCTTATTAACCAACACAGAGGGGAACATTTCGTATCACCTTCTGTTGGATTGCCAGCTGATGCCTTTCAGTCAGCCCCTGCTGTAGGTCTGCCTTTCAGGGGGTGGGGGTGGAAATTGATCTGCAGGAAATTAGCAAATGATCTTCTTCACATCATGGACCTGAACAAGAAACCAGTTCCCAAGTTCTGCAAGTGAAGCTGCTGTGAAAGACAGAGCTACAGGGGCTGGTGGAAAAGTTGGCAACCAAAGCTCCTTTGGATGAGACACGTGCAACTTCAGGCTTTCAAGGGAGAAGTTGGCACATGACCGCAGATCGAAACATACAGAATAACTATCCGTTTATCCTTAAGCCACAGGTACCATTAAGGGTGGAATTGGGAATGCTGGAACCAAGGGACTATTTCTGCCAAAACATTCAAAGGATTTTACCCTAAGAACCTTTTAGTACACATTGTCCAACAATCACTTTATTCTGTTAAAAGCAATAGAAAGAAAAGGGTAGCGTACCTGCATCATGGATCCAGTTCTACAGCAGCTTTGCCATCATTTGATAAAAAACTGTATGCAGTATTTTCTCCTGAAACTAGGTGGTTCTGAGGTCCACATAGAAAATCATTAACTCCTCCAACTTCCTAAGCAAATAGGAGGAAAAAACATCCGATTTAGGTCTTTTTGTATAACCCCATGCTTCTCTTTTCCCCACTCAGACCAGAGAAGGAAACTCATGTGCTTCTCTATGGTATTAAAATAACCTAGATAGGAATTGTTCTGAGTTTAATCCTGGCATATTTGTGACCTTGCTCTGAAAACTCCCTGTGGTTTGTTTGGAGACAGAAAACATTGTTTCCTATGATTTGTTCTTCATTTCCTCTCAGACTATAAAAAGATGTAGCCATCTAATCACTGAAAAAATACATAGGAGAGCGGACTGGCCCTTTTGTTTCTAGAACAGACAAATCGCTTACTCTAGAGAAGTATCCTACTGACAGATTATTTGCCAGAACTCCGAGGGCTGTATTTTTTGGCATGCAAAAACAAAAAACCCCATTTTGTGGCTGGGTGTACTAATAGAATCTGACTTTTTAAAAGAGGGTTTTATTGAATTCTGTGCTGGGGGTTCTGTAGCTTTGCTTGCGAATGTGGTGGGGAAGGGAGAAATGGTGTTTCTAGAGAAAGGGGAAAGAATGAGATTATTAGGAGGGAAAGGGGACGACTTTGCTTCAAATGTGCCGGTTCGTCAGGGGCCGTCCCAAATTCCTGGCAAGTGGCCTTGGTCAATTATGCTGTCTGTTTATTCTTCTGAATCTGAGATCAACAGAGCAGCCTGTTCCCAGTTCATGCCTATTTTGCATGTGTTCAGTCATAAATCTATTCTGTCCCACTTTCTGAGATCCATTTTAACACAAAATGCTGTATTCAAATTGCTTGCATTTCCCCTTACACGTGCCCCGCTTCATACACACATTCCCTGCCTGCATTTCCCCTCTAAAGGCTGCATTTTGAGCTGAGAAAAGTCGAACAAGTGCACAGTCTGAAGTGTAACTCTGCTCTCACCTGCATGTTATTCCAGGAAAATCAAAAGAGGTTGCTTAGCTTACAACTGCAGAAAGAAAAAAATCAAATATTTCTCATCAGGGCATTCTTTCCATTTCATTCCATCCCACTCACCCAACCAGAAATGAAGCATGCAATTCTAGGCATGTATAGACAGAGAAAAAAAATCCCACATTCCAACATTCTCCCCCCAGTATGGCTTGCAGAGAAAGGCTAGGAGCTTTTATACCATCTTTGGTATATGCGCAATCCTATGTCTGAAGAACTACACACAATCCTATGTCTGCAGGTGCTTAGGATTGTGCTTAAATCTCTGATGGCTAAATATGTGTGGGCATCTCATCTCCAGGGCACATGGTCTCCCCATCCTACCCTGGTAACTTTATCTCGTGCCAACAATCAATGAAGGTACATCTAGAACTGCCGGTCTGAATGTATAGGAGCTGTACAGATTTCAGTACATCTCCAACCAAAAGAACACGCACGGTATTTGTTCTGTGAGCAGCTATTGCTCTTTGCTTAGTGCCAGAGAGAGAGAGAGAGAGAGAGCTCTTGGTCAGATTGTACGTATGTATGAATGAGAACTCATTCATAATTGGTGTCATAGGGACACAACTCCTTCTCTCTTTTTAACTGTGAAATATAGAGGGAGAGGCTAAAGGCCAGGAAATGTTTAGGTTGTTGCTGTTCAAAGGCCTCACTCTGATTTTTATCTGTGGCTTCTCATACATTAGCTGATCAGCCTCTGGGATCAGTGACCTGTTGGTTTTTTAGGAGTCCTGTGGGGGTTGGGGAAGATGCAGGGGGAGGAGGGCTTTGGAAAGCGCAGTGAAAGTCCACCCTGGCTGGAGAGCTCATTTTCCAAATGCCATCAACTGAATTTCATCAGAGTACTGATTCCACAGTTTTCCAGCTCTTTGCTTCCAGGAAGTCTCTCTCATGTTGATACGCATGTAATCACCGAAGGAGCAGAAGGAAAGAATGACCCGTTCGCATTCCCAGAATCTAGTGCTGTAGCAGAGCCAATATTCACAATGACACAGCATTGGCACAGCGGGCACACGGATGCCATCTGCCCACCATCCTCTCTTCCCTCTGGCCTTATCTGCAGCCCTCGGAGTCGCTGGGCTGGCAGGGGTGGGGGAGTGACTCTTCCTAACAAAGACATCACGTTCCCTGTTGCAATGCAAAGTATTTCGGAGTGGTGAAGTCTTGAATGGGCAATTCAGAGCAACTAGCCTTGCTGCTTGGTTTGGTTAAGAGATTCGCCATAGCTCCTCCCAATGAAGATGAACTGGGAGGAAGCTACGGAGTCGCTCGGCTGACTGCAAGTTGGTCCTTCCTTGGGGCAAGGCTGTGAGGAATGCCATAATAAATCCCCACAGTGCAAAATTATCCACTACACCACTCATATTTCCATGCTTTAGTGCTTTTCTATTGCTAAATTTCTACCGAGTAATGGAAAACTTAAAAAATAATTTTAAAAACCAGCCTGCAAGTGTGAAAAATCCATGCAACTTGGAAAAAGTCAGATTCCTGCAGAAATTCTAACTGAGTCTATGGTGGATTTCTCCGTCATCCCTGATTCCGTGCCTTCACTAAAACTGAACCAAAAAGTCACTCCATCACCTTGCAGTCAACCTCTTCTCTTCCTCCTCCCTCCAGCTCCTTTTCGTGCCTTCACTACAACTCCTAACATGCAATTTGCCTATGAGAATTCTGGCATTGTGCAGTATTTGGGGCACTCCTGCTCGCTGTACGGTATGTTCCCCTAGGCCTGTGCTCCAAAAACCTTGTGCTGGGGAAATACGGCATTGAGAGGAGGCAGCAAAGAAGGTTGCTTTCACCTGGGGAATAGCCAGGATGAAGCCAGGAATCACGACTGGAGGGCGTGCCAGGACGGAAGGACACAAGCCATGCCACAGCGCAAGCCAGAAAAGCGGAATGAAAAGCCCATGGAAGAATATTAGTGCATGACTGTAGCACTCAAATAAACTCAGCAGGAAGCCCTTTATGCACTGCCCTGTTCAGAAGATTCCATAGGTATCCATCCGAAAGCCTTCCTCACGCTTTGATTATCTTCACTGATTCAGACAGTTAAGTTTTATATATACTATATAGCACATGTGCTACATAACATATAACCTATCTAAAATATAACTTAGCTTTGCATTTCTTACAGCCTATGCCAGCTTCCTTGGAAATAATCCCCACTAAATTCAGTGAGAATCACCTGTGAATAAAGATGCACAGAGCTTTGCAATTTCTGTGCTGGCAGCCGCTAGATTCCAACTACACAACCCGTTGCTGTTAGAGCATCCATTGCTATTACAACCCGCCAGCCAGCAGGTGGCAGCACAACCCTGCGGATTGATGCCGCCAGAGCGAGTAATACTTAATAAATAGTTTCACAAATTTGCAAACATGGCAGGTAACTACCGCTGCCTCCAGCCAAGCAGCAAAAAAATCCCAGCGGCGAGCTACTTGGCTGCATTTTTAAGGCCAATTGAAATATTTCTAGTACTGGCCCTTAAACAAAAGCAAAGCAGGCACCCTGCAAATGTTAATTCATGCTGGGAAAACTGTAGCAAAGGAAGAAGAGCAAAAAGCATTTAACAACGGAGAGGCTTCCAGAGACACGAAGTTTTCCAAATATGCTGGCATGTCATGAAAAAACAATGTTTCATTCCATCTCTAGTGTTCAGGCTGTGAGCAGTAATGTTGCTTGGGGAGTCAAAATATCACTCACAAAAGGGCAGCTGCCGGTGCTTATGTCTCATTTCCGAACTCCATGTAAAAAATGAAAGCCGGGCAGGACGAAAATGGATCTTGTCTACCAATGCATTGATTGCCTCATCTTGCACAATTCCTCCATTCCATGCATGGATTCCCTGCACTCATTAATTGCTGATATGATTACACTTAGCACATGAAACCAATTTCCACTAGGAATGTGTGAACCAGCAAAACTCAAGTTCCTGAAGTCCACTTTAAAACTTGTTCTGACCTGTGCTGTGAGCTTTGGGGGTTTTCTTTCTTTCTTGCATGAAAATTCATGGGCTATTTCATTGGGATTTTCTTTCCAAATTTTCCTGTTGTGCACATCTTTGAACTGTATGCATTTTCTCCCATTGTTTAAAAATGCATTTTGAATGCATTTTTTTAAATGCATCTTTTCATGCTCATTTTTCAAATGCACACATGCTATTGAACACTTTTCAGGTTTTGATTTGCAAAGTTCATTGAAAGATTTGAAATATATGGACTTGGAGTGCAGCTGTGTTCGGTTCAGAAGGTGTGAACTGAAAGGATGAAAAATCGGAAATAAATTTCTCATACATCCCTAGTTCTCACCCTTGAGGTGCAGATCTATTCAGGATAGGACATCTGTTTTAAAAAAAATACAATCACCCCAGCTGCTGGAAGTGATAATAGGAGTACATATGTATTTTTGTATGCAGAAGTGTCCTTTCTGATATATTCTTTCTGCACATTGACAGCACCACTAATAAAAAGCCATAACTGAAAACAGAAAGAATTGTGGGTCCAGCAAAACCCTTTTTCTAAGAAGGACACTGCAGGATTGCTTTGCTGACCTTGCCCTTGGTTATTCTTTGTGGATTTGATTTTACGAATACCAATTTGTGTCGAACTGATCTATTCTACCCTGACTAACGTGCCGGTCAGAAATCCATCAGGTCTCAGCCTTCTTCAAATGCTGCAAGAATCTGTGGCTCAGAAATTATTAAAATATATTTTAAATGCATATTTTCAGGGAAGATTCATTGGAAAATACGTTTAAATGTGCCTTTATTTTAATATGAATTTGATGCACATACACAAAAATCACAGGTTAATGTGGGAATGGAATGGAATCAACCCATGAGTAAGTTACAATAGACTTTGAACTTTCATCTCATCCTGCCTTGCACAACAGTGGCTAATTGTACTTCTGGTGTTTTAGCCCTAGCCCTTCTGTCTTTGGCCAGTTTTAATTTCTTTAAAACAAGAACTGAAATAACAAAACATAAGCATAATCTATATGCTTATATTGTGGTTGTCTTACATTCCTTGCCTCTGTTAACAGTGTAAATGCTGCCTAGATCAGCTGCAGTTTGCCAGACTGGTTCAGCTCCACGAATCACAAGACGAATCAGCAGCCCTTCCAGTGATGAAAACACAGCCCTGCTTGTAAAAATGCTGTCCTCATGCCAGCGATCCCTGCCTGAGCCATCCATCTCCCAGTCTGCTTTGCCGAAAGACCCATCCTGCCTGAGGGATCTTCATTTGTTCTCCATTCAAAAGCCTTCTCCCCATTGGTTGAAAAGCCAGGACGATGCTTGCACTTTGGGAAATCTGTTATTGTAGGACAAGGTGATATTACAGTTCGAAATATACTCCAGAAAAGGTGCTGTATAGAATGGCCAGCAGTGTAATGTGTGATGCCTTATTCTTGGTGTGCACACACTTGTGCAAGATGCAAATCTCTCTCTCTCTCTCTCTCTCTCTCTCTCTCTCTCTCTCTCTCTCTCTCTCACACACACACACACACACACACACACACACACACACACACACACGGGTGGTCATTCATGGATCCCCTCAAAGGAAAAACAGAGGTCACAAATTTCAACATGCTAATGTATATGCATACATGCTCATTTAGGAAAATACTACCATTTAAATAAAAATATGGTGCATCTCTCCATAATGAGGATGACTCTGACCAGGTACACTGCTTGGTCTGATGTCCCTGTGCTAACTATTGATTAGAAATTTCAAGGCTGCTCCCAGGCCATCCCTTCTCAGCATTCCTGATCAACAAACCAGATTTGCATTTGGCAGCCCTATAAAAAGAGGACTGTGCTCGGTAAAAGAGGAAACTGTAGCCAATGTCAGCCTGGTTTAGAATAGACCCCTATTCAAATAAATGCATCCAGTGGTCACCCTGACACAGATGGAGAGATGGGAAGAATGGCCCCTCTAGTGATTCCCATGAGCAAAAAATAAAACATTCCAAAGCGGGGGGAGAGAGAGAGAACAGGGATTTGTCAGCATTAGAAGCTGGAAAATAGCAGATGTCCCTGCTTAAAAGGGACAATTGCAGCATATGAATCAAAGTCATAAAATGAGCAAGGAACCGGCAGTCGCCATGGACTGAGAAGAAGAGCAATTATCTCATGCTAGGCCAAACCAGGAGCTCTGCAAAACAGCCCCCCGAGTTCTCCCGTGACAGCCCCTCTGTTCAGTGAGGAGAAGACGCCGGACGAGGCAAGGAACCGAGCTGAGAGAGACCTCAAAATCCGCGTTACCTTTTGCGCCTCTCAGTGGTGGTGGTGCTGGTGCATGCGCAAGAGCCGGTGGTGTGGGTACATACAGAGGCCCTCCAAGAAGAGCCGTGCACTTGTTTTGCTAGCAGCCCACAAATCTGAAGCCGTTTCACTGCATTTGGATTATCTGAACACGTTCAAGCACAATCTGGGAAGGCAGCCAGCTCCCTGTGGCCTGGAACCAGGCGCAAGCTGACGCCTGGCATTTCTGAAGCGGGAGAAGAGCCAAGCTCTGCCTATCCCACTGACTGAGGCTGGGGATAAACCAAAATTAAATCAGCATGAGGCTGGGGCCCTCAGTCTGGGATTGTGATGTGTTAGACTCAGCAAGTGTGCAGGATTGCCTGGATTTTCTTCCTCTGGCTTTGTAGTGGGTTATTTGTCATCCTGGATTTATAATTCTGTTGAGGAATTGTGCTTGCAGTACATCGAGGCTCAAACAAGAGGAGGCATCCGATCTCTGTGATTGGATTTGTCTCCTCACATTGCATAAGCAGCTACTGTGGGTTCAGGATTTGGGTCTGGCTCAAAGCACTAGGGGAGGAAGAGGTCATTCTATAGGGCTTCTCTGCCCCAGATGAAGCAAACAGCTTCGGGGAGGGGGGAGGTTTTTCCATCAGGAAAGGGTAAATGTCCCTTTTCCTAGAGCCATGTTCCCAATCTGAACTGCAGCTCCCCATAGTTAAAATATGATAGATACCATACTTTCTACATGCATTCATTCTAGAGTTATCAGCTATCCTGGAAAATGGCAGCTATAGAATTCATGCATCAAAACAGGTGTGTGTACCAAGTTAAGTGTTTCCCTAAATGGGTCTGAATTTTCACAATGCTCTGTTGTACTGTGCCATCAAGTCCTCTCTGACCTATGGTGATCCTGTGAATGGAAGCCCTCCTGCTTGACATCCGGGCTCAGCTCTCCTAAATTCAAGGCTGTGGCGTCCCTTACAGAGCCCATCCATCTCATCTTGAGTCTTTCTTTTCTTCTTCTTTCCCTCGCATGATTGTCTTCTCCAAGGACTCTTGCTTTTTCATGATGCGCACAACTCTATGTATGCCTATTTTTATAGACAGTGTGGTGAAAGATCACAGACTTTATGCTCTTTGCATGGAGAATAGCTAATGAGATGATAGTTAGTAAAAATTATTTTTCCACAGTTAAGGGAAACGAATTACAAAGCTAAGTTATCTCTTTGTATACTGGTGTAAAACATTCACTCCGAATCTGAATTGAAAGAAAAAGAAGGCAATAAGCCTTGGTCTTTGGATGTATTTTATTTCCAAAGGGATCTTTCAAAATCATAGTTCTTATTACTTCATGGCATTTATACACTGTGTACAAAAAGAAAGAAAGGAGAAATTTAAGAAATAAGACTGCCAGGTCTGTATTCTTTAATCATGCATCTACATTGCAGAAATTGGTAATGGGCCCGGAAAGAAAAAATAGCAATAAGCTGGGTTCCTAGTTCTAATTGGAAAGAATCATGCGAGCGAAACAGTTCAGGCCAAAAATGGTGCTCCACTCCCACCTCCTGGGATGATTTGATTTATTTTGATCAATTGATTGCTATTCTCCCAACAGTTGAAGCAGAAGGAGTACTTAGAGATTGATTTCAGGGGGCAGCACATTTTTTAGAATTGCTTGGGGTGATTGCAAGGTGCGAAAGAAGGCCTTCATACAACTCAGCATGCTCCAGCTGGTTTTAGGGCTTTTTATGGCTAAGCATACATAGGATGGAACTCTTAGTTTTATAGCCAGAAGGTTTTTTGCTGCTTCATTTCTGAACGTTTTTTAAAGCCACAAGTTCTGAAAGAGTCCCTCGGCCACAGTTCTCAGACCGTGGGGATGGCACTTCATAGCAATGCTTGAGTCTTCCTTCTAACGCTCTGCATAGCTTCTTGACCCTCCTAATGTTTAACTAGCAGTCCTGTACATGCTTCCTTTGTGGTCAATGCCACAAAACATTCTGGCACTAATCCTGGGATCCGCATCATTGGACTGCACTGCAAATGCTGCAAAATGAGGCTTCCATGCAGAATAGCCAAATGCATGCCAGCTCGCCCGTCTGACTCATGCTGCTGAATTCAAGAGTACAGTCTGAATTTCATTGCTTATTTGCTTCATTTAGAGTAAAGTGTATGCACAACTCACATTGTACATTAGCTTGTTATAGAGATGACACCCTCCCCCCATGCTTAGAGAGAATCCAACCCCAGCACTACGACGACAGCGACCAAAACCCCTAAAAACAGAATATCATCCCAAGGGGAAAATAGCTGCCATTCAATATTTTTTCAAGAGATTCACACAAGATTTCTTTCCAACAGCTCTGTCTCAGACTTGTTTACATAGAAAGGTGTCTTTCCAACCCTAATCCATTCTACAAGAAAAACTCCAAATCTGCAGGAAACTTTTAATATTTCAAAGGAATTTTGACAATGTTATATAAATTTAGATATTCAAAGATAGGCTGGACATGCCCATGGTGGGCATGTCGTGAGCGGAACCGGCTGGAGCCGGGGGTCAGACTAGATGGCCCAGGAGACTTCTTCTGACTCGCTTTGTTTCTATGTTTCTAAATTTGACCTCTATTGGCTAAAATGGTCGATGAGGATCAATCAAAATGGCTATCAACAGCTATGAGGTAAGACAGTTATGTACTATGAGTTAAGACAGTTATGTACTAACTTCAAGATCAGATTCAGCTTCCCTCTAAACTCTGGTCATTCAGAAACTAGGAGAATGTTGTACTAGACAGACCTTTGGTTATATCCATCAGGATTCTTCTTGGATTTTCAGTGATCTGATATCAGCTTTATCCATGGACTCTGGAGAGGATATAGTCTCTCCTGAAAGCAAATGGAAACCTCTCCTTCTATTGCCAGCTTTCTGTGTCTATTTGCACTGGCGTGAAAAGGGGCTAATTTAAGATCATGCCTACAACCCAAGACCATCATATTTGATCAGTCAGGACAACAAAAAACTGGTTTCTACAGTCAAGTAGTCCATCATACAATGAATTCAAATAGATGTGGAATACTTCAAAGATATCTAGATTTTACATTTAAGTGTGAGTAAGCATTTTTATCCTCAAAATGGATAGAAGTTGAGCTTTGATGCTCTAAAGAATGATTTTTTGCATCCAAAGGAAAATGACAAGAAAATGGAAGTAAGCAATTCAATTAAATTGCAATGGCAAATGATTTCTGGACCTCCACAACAAATCAGCCGCAACTTAAATTCTGGATGGAAGATTTTTTCAAGGAATGCTGGTGTCATTTACTTCATTAAAAGGACTCCATTCTTCACTACAGACAGAGAAGGGAGACTTTTGCCTTGGATCTTCTACACAGGCAGAGGCAAAATCGCATTTTCGCATTACTCAAATTTCTAGAAGGTGTTTGCTATGTACAGGTCACGCTGTCCTCATCACCCAACACTCACACACGTAATCAGAAGCATGAACTTAGATTGGATCATAGGTCAGACTTTCCATCTTACACCACCATCCTTTTCAGTTAAGGAAAGCTTTCCTAAAGGCGTGTTTCTTTTTCTGGCCAGTAGGTTGCCTGGACCAAGTGGTCGCTGTTGACAAAGTCGCTTTTCCTGCTTTTCACAGAAGGTGCTGCTTTCTCTCCACTGGGTGTGATACTTGGATTTTGAGGATTGTACCTTTTCTTTAGAACCAGCAGGACAGCGATGCTAAAGAATGTGGCCATGGTGCCCAAAACAACCGTCAAACCCAGATAGATATACCTGCGGAGGGGAGAAAAGGGCTTTGAATTCATTGCTTTTGTCAGGGCTTTTGCTTGCTTTAGTTGCAGAAATTCACCCTTACCTGGTTCAGAATATGAATTTGCCTTGTTCTAACACTCAGAGTCAGTATGAACTGAACACCTCTCTCTATGCTACATTAATGAAGAGGGAGGTTAAATTAACACAGAATGAGGCATGCGGGGGGAGGTCTCTTTTTTACTTATAAGTGAGCAATGTAGATTGGGATTGCAGTATCTGAATATCGGGAGTGCAGGAGCTAGCAGGAAGACCTGTATTGCTGAAGTGAACTAGGGATCAAGGTAGGATCTGAGTCAGGGAAGATGCAGTCAATACAGTGGACAGGTTAGGATTGGAGGTGGTTCTGGATGGCGATCACGGGAGCCCTCAACAATTGAAGAATGGAGAAATGGGTTGGTGGAGTTCGCAGTTTAGAAGATCGTTAGAGGAATGTGCAACATGATTAGCGGATCTGAGGTGTTTAAAAAATAGGAAAGCTGCAGAGGATCTGACGTGATTGGAGAATCTGTTGTTGTATAGATTATTGTATTGCATTTTTATGGAGTGTTGGTGGATAGATTCTGAGGACTGATTGCACTGGATGGATCTGTATCAAATTCCCTTGGCAATTTTGTCTATTTCAGTTTGCTCTGTTTAATATAGTTGCATTGCTTTCAAAATAAAAAAAATACAGCAAACAGGACGTCATGAGATGCTGAGGGAAATTCTGGAGAGAAGAGCATATTCTTCTATAGCCCTTCCCCCAGGCCTTCCAGCTGGAGCGCATCAGGATGCTGCGACCCATCCTGCAAATACTCTTTGGGGCGTTCTGGATCTGGCCACCAGCTGGCCACCAGCTGGAGCCCCAGATTCTGACAGGTGCTGGAAAGGGAGATCTCTGGGGCCAGAGCTCTCCCTCCAGCCTTGGAGTGGGAGCTCCGCCATGGCCAAAGGATTGCATCTTTGCAGAAGCTTTTGAAAAAACCAAGTTCTCAAATGTAGAAAAGACATCCCATAGTTACCTAAAGGCATTAGAATCATAGAGTTTGCAAGCTCCTTGACCTCCACAGCTTTTGCTTCCCCATCTGAGGCAAGTTGTATCGATCGAAACACCAAAGTATACTGGCGCTGGAATTCCTGCTGCACCACATAAAAGGAAGTGTGAGTTTGAATGTGCTAGTTCCTCCCTCTATGAGCTAGCCTAACAATTTAGTACAAAGCAGGAAGCATTTCACAAATGAGCACTACTTGGCGTGTTACAGGATGCTCCTCAGCTCACATTCAGAACCTTTCAGTCTTTCTCTCCTGAAGTCCTTCACTTCCTCTCTGTAGGTGGCAGCTGCTCTTGTGAAGTTGGCGATTTATTAATCCACTGAATCAAGGGCCTTCCTTTCCATTATAACAGCACGCTCTGGATCTGAAGCTGCACTCTGCTTCCCAGGAGGACCCACGGCCGAGAGTCTTCAAGAAGAGCATCCCAAGGCACGCATCACCCATGGCGGCTGTTCACCATGCCGCCATGAGCTAGTTGAACTGGGTTGTCACACCAGTATGACCTATTGTGTTGTCTGAACACAGTTACTGCTATAGCTAACAAACCACCCAGAACCTACAGACTCTTTAACAATCTTTCAGTGGCTTCTTAACTAGGGTTGTGTGAAGAGTCCATTTCGGAGGTGGACTCCAGTCTGGCTTGTTGTGGCCATGAGACTGAATTTCCGGCATGTGCACCCAGCATTTCTGCAGGGCTCACCAAGAATCGAGTCCCACCTGACTGCTGAATGTGGAAGTGGTGTCCCTCTTCCACATCATGTGCAGCCACCATTGTTTGTGCGAGTCACACAACTTCTATTCTGCAAGCATTCAAAGACTTCCTCTTGGCTTGGCATGTTTTCTGAGACCAGGCCATGCACGAGAGAAAGACTGTGGATGTGAGAGGGATGGATCCTGTGGAGCTTGGACCAACTGTATTCTTAACCCTAGGTGGTCCATGGAGCTCCTTAGAAAATTCCCTTCCACATATGTACCCCTCTTTAAAAGCAGCAAAGCGAGGGAATTGTGTAAAATTACCATGTTTCGGCATTTTAATCCCCTTTGCATTCTAAAGCAGAAATGCTACCAAGATCCAGAGGAAATACAGAATTCATACTTACCAAGAACCCTTGTAGCCAAAGTATAGATGCCCAGAGCAAAAGATTTGAGTTGTGGATTAATGCTTCTGAAACATAAATGCAAACCTTTTTATAAATACATGCTGTTCAACATGCACTGTGAACTTAGCTTTCAGGCACGAGTCCTGCTTCTTCTCTTACACTGCAACTATCAGGAAAAAGGAAAATATTTTGGGGGTGGGGGAAATGGGCCATTGTGCAAGGGAAAGAAGCTAGCTCTCATCCTAAGTAAATCCCACATAATCCCACAGTAAGTCAGCATTAAATCGGCAGCCCCATTTTCCCCCAAAAGGATAATTTACCAGGGCAAGTGTCAGAAAGTAGTAATAAAAAATCCCAGGATTCAGGAATGGCAGAGTTGTATGGCAAAACTTTTATTTTTATATTGCATTACATTACCTTATGTTACATTTTTATATTGCATAACATTACATACCCTTTTGTCCTCTTGTGAGGAAGACAAGGAAGCTATCATAGCTCCGTTTTATCTTCAAAACAACAACCCTGTGAGGTGGGTTAGGCTAAGAGGGAGTGGCTGGCCCAGTCTCCCACTGAGCTTCATGGCTGAGAGGGAACCAGAACCTGGATCTCCAGTCCCACAGTGTAGCCACCACACCACACTGGCTGTTAAATATACTTCGGCAATTGCACCTCTTCAAAGCGGCCAAAGGTTCTGTCAACCAATCAGCTACTGGGCACGAATTTGGAGGTTTTAAACATGCTCATGAGCTTTCCACAGCTTGGTCTTTCACAACCCTCAAATAATTCTGTCATTCCCTTTAAAAGTAAAATGTGTTAGGATCAGTATAATACTGCCACCTGTGGGATTCTCAATGAATAACACTTGGAGTTAAACTATAGGGTGCCCCCCCCACACAAACAACAACCAGTTCCAATTCCCAAAATATTTTCAGAACAAGCTGCCACTGAGTGGCATTTTAGTCTTTTTAAATCCCAGCTCTGCATTTCAGATGTTTAATTTAAAATTGAAAGGGTTTTGCCTTTGAGGAGATCCTGCAAAACAGGGAGGAAAAGAATATGGGGAGAGCCAGGGTGGTTGTGTGGTTAAGAGCATGGGACTGGGACTCAGAGGATCCTGGTTCAAGTCCCCGCTCGGCCATGGAGCCACCGGGGTGACTTTGGGCCAGTCACAGACTCTCAGCCCAACCCACCTCACAGGGTTGTTGTTGTGGGGATAAGATGGAGGAGGAGAATGATGTAAGCTGCCTTGAGCCCTTTGAGGAAAAAGGCAGGATATAAAGTGATACATAAATAAATAAATAAAAGAATTTTAAAATGTGGCCATGTTCCCGGTAACAGAGAAGATCCAAAGAAGTATCAGCACACAATAAAAGCCAAAAGTGTAACAAATAAGAGATCCTGAAATAAAAATATAAATAGGAGGAGGAGGAGGAGGAGGAGGGAATAGGAATGAGAATGAGGGAGAAGGCACTCAGTGACTTTAGTGGCTCTGCTGGCCACATGCTCCCTCCTTTACCAGAGGGGGGATGCCTGCACGCACCCGTTGCTGAGGAGCTTGGGAAGGAGGAGGTCTTGCACCCATCCTGCTGGAGGGAGCCTGTGGGCAGCTGGGTTGCCACTTCGTGTACGGCGAGCTGGACTAGATGGACCATTTCTTTTACCCAGTATTGCTTTTCCTAGAAACAAACAAACTAATCCCGATGGCACAGGACTTGGAGACGCTACCAGGTGTAACTGGTCCAAATTTTCTATGGTGTCAGGTCACACATTCTCCTTCAAAGCATCAAGGCCTGCTTCATGCCCATTTATGCCTGCGTTTCTCTAACTTTGATGACCATGCACTTGCTCATGGGCAGCAGAATGAGGGATTCTGGTACAGTGTAAAGCACTGAGTGGAGGAGACGTGATAAGCCCTGAAACTCTTTCCAGAGCTGCAGTGTCTTGGAGGACTCACTCCCAGGTGGCGGTCATTCCCCTGGTGTGGCAGGCATCGTGTGACCCACCTGTGCCAGCGTACGCTCATCAAGGGATGCATGCGTACATCTGAGCGAACCTGCTTGACATAATGGCCTCCGTCTCTCCTGGGCTCCGTCAGATCCATTGCACGATTACATCCGGGACGGCTCACGCAAAAACACCCCTGGAAGGTAACATGCTTTGCAGTGCTGTTGGAAATGTTTGCAAATGCATAGCTACCATCCAGGTGGTGCCCAGAGTCGCTCATTGCAGGCTGTTCACATAGCTTTGTTTGAGGAGGAGGTGGTGGTACAGGGGTTTGGGGTAAGGACGTTAAAGTTTCGCGGTTTCCTAGTGAAGTTTCTCAGGCTGAGCATAAGAATCAGCCTGCTTTGGAAGGGGTGAAAGGGTTTCCAGGAGGGAGCAGATGCTGGATCCAACCTTGACTCAGTAAAGAGCCACCGGGAAAGCCAAGCTTGCGCTCAAGCAGCAAGAGGCAACCTGAGGGTAAAGCCAGAAGCTCTACTGAAAAGCATGGGCAGAGGGGAAGTTTCCAGTTTGGAGTCAGCTCTTCACATGGGCCGGTGCTTCCTTCTCAGCTTTGGGAGAAGGCCACCTTGAGCTCCAACTGTTCTGTCTGTCCATTTCAAGAAAAGAACTGCACTTCCAAGGATCGTCTTGAGTTTTGAACCCAGATGAAAAGAAGAATTGGGACCAGCTCATGATCGATGGTGACTTTGTTCCCAGTTTGCCTTCCCCTTCCAAACTTCTTTGTGTTTTCCAGACCCTCATCCTAGCCCATGATAAGGAATGGTTTGAGGAATTCTGAGCTCGTAAGTCCTACTCAATGCTGTGGAGGGGAAAGGACATTGGGGACACCTATGCTGGACAACAGGTAGATATTTCTAGTTGGGGAGAATTCTGCAGGCTCTCCCTTTCCAGCCCCTGAAAGCATTTATTTGCATTCATCAGAAATTGCAGCTGCTCACCTTAGAAGTAAAATGTATCCAGGAATCCCTCCAATGGACAGTGTATAAGAAGTAATGACAGACACTACTAGAAAATAGAGAAACATTTTGGGGCACTCCTTTCCTTTTTGACAAGGTCCCATCACAGCCGAGGAGTACTGTGATGAAAACTCCGAGAGCTCCACACAGCTGCAGTTATAAAATATCTGGAATGAAGCAAAGGAAATGTGGGTTCAGAAAGGGCCATATGGTGGCACGCTAGGTTAAAGAAAATCAGTGCAGTTTTAAAATTTAAAACCAGCCACATTATACACAGCACTTACACATTTGATTTACTTTCCAAATGTGGTGGAAGTTTTTCCAAGGCTGAAAGAGCCATAATGACGACTTTGTTATCCAAGCTCTTGAAAAGGTATTGGTGTTACATTTTGAAAGGGGTACGTTTGACCCAATCCTTGTAAATCTTTCAAAAATGGGAGGGCCAAAAACCCAAAGGGGTGCAGTCAAAAATGGGAAGACATTGATCTGAGTCATATTTGAATTAGTGAGACGATGGGGTGAAATGTTTAGAGTGTAGACTGGGGGACCAGGGAGATCCGGGTTCTAGTCCCACTCAGCCATGAGCTCACTGGGAGACTTTGGGCCAGTCACTCACCCTCAGCCAGAGGGCTCATGTGGTGAGGATAAAGTGGAGCTAGGTAAACAGTCTTGGATTCCGCACAAGAGGAAAAATTCAGGATGCAAATGCAATGGAACGACAATAACTCCCACTTCCTCTACTAATTTTTCTGAATTTTTTGATGTGGTTCTGCAGTTCAAATGCATTAAACGTGCCTACGTTGGGGAAAAGAAAATGTGCATGAAAATGCAAATATTCTTATTACTATTGGTATTAGTATCACATTTATATTGCTCCTTCTGCCTCTTGCAAGGAACCCTGTGTAGATGAGGAAGACTCTGTAAGCTGCTCTGGAATCTTTGCAAGAAGAAACAAGGTGGGGTGTAAATGTAATGTAACAGTAATAACCCAAAGCAGTTAACATGGTCGTTCTCCTCTCCATTTTATATGGTGACGAAGGAAAGAGAGTTTATGATTGTCCAGTGACCAATAAGCTTCATGACAGCTACAGACTAGAATCTGGAGCTCTTAAGTCCCAGTCCGACATCCTCACCTCTACCCTTTGCCAACTTTCCGTGGGTGAAAAAAGTGTTCACATATGGCGGAAAAGGCCACGTTCAGACATGAAACACTGCACAGGGCTGTCTTGAGCTTCCATCTTTATTTTTCCAGAAGTTGGCAGTTGAGGAGAAGCAGGAGAAGAAGAAAGGAGAAGACCAACTCTGTTTGAGATCAGCACCGGGGTTGGTTGCCTTCACCCATCTGCTCATGACCCCAAAGTAGTTGTGTAAAGGTAAAGGTTTCCCCTTGATGTGAAGTCCAGTTATGCCTGACTCTAGGGGGCGGTGCTCATCTCCGTTTCCTAGCCGAGGGAGCCAGCGTTTGTCCGCAGACAGTCTCCGTGGCCATGTGGCCAGCATGACTGAACACCGAAGTGCACGGAACGCTGTTACCTGCCCACCGAAGTGGCACCTTTTCATCTACTTGCATTTGCATGCTTTCGAGCTGCAAGGTTGGCAGGAGCTGGGACGGAGCAACAGGAACTCACCTCATTGGGCAGATTCGAACCGGCGACCTTTCGATCAACCAGCCCAGCAGCACAGCGGTTTAAACCACTGCGCCACCTGCAATAGCTTCCAAACCCCCTCCCCCATAACAGATCCATAACTTTTGTCACTTACCATGTTTTTCCCACTTCCATTTGATGTTTTACAACCAGCAAGACAAGCCGAGACGTAGGTGATTCCATTTTCTCCACAGATGGGGTCCCATTCACTTTTAGAGCAGATGCACCCTGAGTTGCACTCTGAAACCAGGGCTTGTTCATAACGGGAAAACCGCTTGTCCCTGGCAAGAAAGGAGAGCATGAGGCCAGTAACTAATGGGCAGGGAGCCACAGTGAAGAGGAAGACCGGGGAATTCCTGTGGCATTCATCCTTCGTGGAGACAGCCCCGCCGGAATTAGCTGTTGTCTGCCTTCTGGTGTTGCAGCGATATTTTGATTGTATTTTATCATGCAATTGGCATTTTAAAGCTATAACTTTGGGAGTGTTCATGTATTGTATTGTTTTATGGGGGATGGGTAGCCACCCTGACCTCCTTGCAAGGAAAGAAGGAATAGATTTATGCATGAATAAACACACCAGTAAGTTTCTATGATGTGGAAATCTTTTCAATGGGATTAACATGAGCTTCTTTTAACAACAGAGGGCAGTGTTCCCCAATCTGGTGGTGCCCAGAAGTTTCTGACTACAGTTTCTATCAACAAAGACTATTGGGTATGCTAGATGCAGCTGATGGGAAACATAACCCAAAGTATCTGAAGGACACCAATTTGGGGAAGGCTTTGGAAAGGCAATTGTCTAATTGAATAGGAATTTTAAACTTTTCCCACATAAGGGAAGCAATCTGATTATCACTCATTTAAACATCTGTCAGGAAAATCTTGGTTGCTCAGTGATGGGTCTAAACTCTAGGAATAGGAAACTCTAAAGAGGGTCAAAAATCCATTTTTAAGAGAGCAACCCTGTGGTTTCCTAACGTCATCTGGGAGGCCATAGGATTCTTCTGCATCGGAGCTGAAGGGAACTCAGAACTTCATTCCTCCAGCTTGGAGCTCTGACACTCAAGATCCATTTGAAGCTGGTGCACAAAGACAGGTTAGTTGCCCTCCTGGGAAGGAGAAAAGAGGGACATGCCCAGGGCAGATAAGGGGCAGCTGGGCCTGCAGGCTGCTGCCAATTCCAGGTGGCGTCTCAAAGGTCTTTTCTCCACTAAATCTAGAATGACCAAAACCAGCCACCTATAGACAATGTTCTGCAAGAGCTCTGGAAGCAACAGAGATCCCCAACTCTGGGCCCCTTCCAGGCACAGGACTCAGCAAAACTTCCCAGTTCAGAGGTGTATGTGCATCTTCTCCGGAGGCAAGAGACTTGCACCCCAATGTTTCTTCTGTTCCTACCACATGACCCTCCCTCCTTTGAGGCTTCACCATGCTAATACCTGCCAAGAGCCCGAATGCTGAATGCTGCCATTCTGTTCATCCTTCTCACTGCTGTCAAAAGGACTTGATCAGAAGAGATCAAAACCCCAAATGCATCTCTCCTATTCTTCAAGCAAGGAACAACGCAGGGAATCCCCCGGGGGGGGGGGGTACCCTTGCTGTGTCCTCAGGGGTGAGCGGGGTCCAAGAATCCAAGCAGTGGAAGAGCTGCAAGGACATAATGGGGGGTGGGGTGGGGGGGAGAATGGTGGGAGGAGGAGCCCATTCACCCCTCAGATACCCCATTATTGTAAGGAAGGGCTGAAGCCCTGGTCCCTTGGAAAAGTCTCTAAAATGCTCAGCATCCAGGCGAAAGAGGTGGAAAACTGGGAAATAAAGAGGCTGTGAATGGGCAGGTCTTCAACATTACAGAATGGGCAAGTGGAAAGGCTGGGGCATCCCCAAACATTTGGCAGCTAATAAAATACCTATGGGAAATGAGAGGGGTATAGCTGTCCGGGAAGCTCCAGAAGTTCTGACTGGTACCCCAGACCGGACTGATTGGGGCATACCCAAGTTCTGCCCTAAGATAATGAAGAATGGCAGCTGCTGCACTGCAAAAAAATTCAAGAGACCAGAGAATGGATAAGGCTTTTTCAACTAGTTCTGGATTCAGGCTGGATTTCCTGCTCGTTCTGAGTGTATTTTATAAACATTAATCATGCATGGCTTCTTCTCAAAATCATGCTTTTGAGAAAAGAGCCCTCTCCCTCCCTTCCTCCCTCCCTCCCTCCCTCTCTCTCTCTCTCTCTCTCTCTCTTTCTCAGTGTGTGTTTACAGCCTCAGACACTCTTACGTGCCTCTTGATAGCAAAGACTGAAACATTCCCAGTGGTTTTACACATATGGCCAAGAGAGGAGCGAGGATACCATGGTGGCATGCCAGAGAGAGTGCCTTCTCCCTTACTAGCCTGCCCAGTCCCTGAGATCATTGGAGGACATTTTCCTGGTGGTTCCACACAGACCCACGGCCTGGCTGGAGTCCACCAGGAAAAGAGCCTTCGTTGTGGTGGCCCCACTTCTATGAAATTCCCCAACTCAGGAAGGTACCACCACTGCGCTACTTTCAGCACCTGCAGTAAACATCTTTGTTCTAGGAAGCCTTTCTTCTTGACCAGCCATGGTTCTGTCATCTTGTTTGTTAATATATTGCTCTTAATTTTTAGCTTTTTACTTTTTGTAGCTCCAAAATCAGCCTAGATAGGGAATGATATACAGATTGTTGTTGTTGTTAGTCGCGAAGTCGTGTCCGACCCATCGCGACCCCATGGACAACATTCCTCCACCATCCTCAGGAGTCCACTCAAGCTCACACCAGCTGCTTCAGTGACTCCATCTAGCCACCTCATTTTCTGCCGTCCCCTTCTTCTTTTGCCATCTATTGTTCCCAGCATTAGGCTCTTCTCCAGTGAGTCCTTGCTTCTTATTAGGTGGCCAAAGTATTTGAGTTTCATCTTCAGGACGGGTAGTGTAAACAAATGAAAATGTTACTCCTGCATAGAATAAACTCACTGAAATGAATGAGATGAAGTTAGTAGCTCTAACATTGGGCACTACCCCGTGTTCAGAATGCATTGTACATTGACCTACTATCTTGAATTTTAGGAAGCTTCCCTGTTGTAGATTTAGGGAAAAGCCGAATTTTCAAAATATCTGTTGCAATCTGCTTCCTCAGGGACCCAGAAATGCTTTTAAAGATGGAGGGGGGATCAAAGTGATCCAATATTGCTTAAAAATTAAATTCAAAGGGATGCCAACAGTACTGGAATGACACTATTCAAGATTATACAACAAGTACAATCTGCAAAAAAATGCAGCAGTCTGGAGTGCTCCTCTTAAGGGTTTCAGCCAGCCAGCCAGCCCACCACGCCCTCTTTCAGAGTGTTCCATTCCATTCCTCATCACAGTTCTTCATTCCCCACAATTTCCAACAGCCACTCAGGAGATCAGTTCTCACTGGGCCATTTTGAGGATTCTCCCTGCCCCTCCAACATTTTTGAGAATACATCATCCAAATGGGCTGATATTTCCTTAGCAAATGGACCATAAACAAAAGGTACAACCTGCACTGAAATAGGAAGAGTCTGGAGTGAGTCAGGAGCTGGAAGCAGAAAACCAGGATTGTGGGGTAATCAGATCCAGAGATTAATCCAGAAGACAGCTCTGAAGGGCAAGCCCCAAACCCAAGAAACTCTAGAGAACACACAAAGCTTCTTCCTTGCTCAGTCAACATTCCACTGAACTGAGGCAGGAAGTTGTCTGCCCGACTTCCTGCCCCGGAAGGCTCCCTCACACCTGGGGAAGCCTTCCCTGCTTGGTGCTCAGCAGCCGGGTGGGAGACAGGGTAGCCAGAGTCTTAAAAATGGATAGGTAAAGCCTCATTTGATACAGTAATCCCTTTCCCAGGAAATGAACATACCCCTGGTAGGAGACGGTTAGTCCAGCCACATCTGTATTCTTGCATCCCATTGCAAATAGCGAAAGGAGCAGCAGGTAACCAACCAAGGATGAAAGCAAGGAGAGCCAGGCTGCCCCCAAAGCATCCAGCCGGAATTTCTTCATGATCAGCCCCCCGGAGAATATCCCAAGGGCTACGGCGGGAATATTGATGAGACCTGCAGTTCCCAATGGAGACAAATCAATTCAGTATAGCCCGTGGTGCAGTGGTAAACTAGGAAGTGCAAGCGCTCTGCACAGCTGCCCCCACAGGGACACCTCCAAGGACAGTTGCAAATTGCAGGCAGCTGTGAGAATTGCTGGCCCGGAGCAGCGCTAACCGTTTTTGTTTGCTAGGAGCAGGGCTTTTGCAACGCTTATGGGTCTCAAGTGCCATTCAAGACCAAGCCACCCCAAATGCATTATAAGGAACAATGCATGGAAAAACATTTTTGCTTGTTACCTTGAGGATTTCGGTAAAGCCGTGAGGGAACAGGGAATTCTAAGGAAGGTGGCAGGAGATTGCACCATTCCCGCTCATAAAACAATGCCGGTATATTGTCCCTGTGAACTCCGGTTCCACTACATCATGGCATTCAGTCTTATAGAGAGGGGAACTGAGGATTTCCCCCAGAAACATTTGATAGTCCTATCAATACCCCCCTTTTTTCCACATCCCTCAGAATTCATCTGGCATCATGCCCTCCGAATTAATCTGAAAATCCACCAGGTGAATATTTCCATATATATTTTTTAGTAGTTGTTAAAGGCAGAAATCTGAAGGGGCCCATTTCTGTCTCCTCTCCCCCTGCCTGTCCTCCCTCTGCTGCCCAAAGGGGAGATTATCTGGACCTATTCCGGTGACTTGAACTGTTATTACGATTATGCTCTAATAGCAGCAATTAACCTTTCGCATATTCTTCACAAATGGTACTTCTCTGCTTTGCACAATTTTAAATCGTTTCACACATAGCTGAAGGCTTAACCCTAAGGAAAAGCTCAACATACAATGGAGGGCACTGTGCTATGGGCAAGAATGCTTTTTTGAGTGCTTTGTTGCCTCTTATGAAGCACAGATTACAGTATAAGAGGGAGCATGCCAGGAAATTCCATCTTCTAGGAACAAGTACAGTAGATGATACTCCAGCAACTGCCAATCAGTGGGCCAAAACTGATCTAAAGGCGAAATGACCTGACATAGATCCTTCTACCAGGTATCAGAAGCCTTCTCCTCTTGTGACAGTCTTCCAACAGATGGTTTCAGGAAGGAAGTCCTCAGGAACTGTCAACAACGAGATGAGCAAGCATTCCAACTCTTCCCTTGAATTAACTCAGAGATTATCTCTGTTCTTCCAGACATTATCAGAGCGAACTTGGGGAAGGATGGGTGAGAAATTCATTCTAGCAAGCTTGCTGTGGTTGCTTTAATTTTCTACGGATTTTTATCCAGCAAGTCAAAATGGAATTGCCTACCATATTCTGCATTTTCGCACGCTTTTTCATGCAACTTGTCTTAAGGAAAGTGCACGAAAGATAGGTATATTTCTGAAAAGTGTGTTTCAACAAAGCACTTGGGAAAATATGCGTATGTTGAAATATGCAAAACAAAAAGCATATGTTGTACACACAAACTCAGTTTCTACATAAGTTAAAAAATAGCCGTATACAGAAATGGAATGGAATGAACTTGATCTCAAATATCCAAGAGTCGAAGTCATCCCTAAACTCTGGCATGTTTTCTGAGGCAATCTGGGTAGGAAGAGGCTGCAGGGGATACTGAGGTGGGTGGGAGAACAACACCTTCTGCTGGAGACCCTTAGTTCTCTCCACTGTTCAATCTTTCCCCTGTATTGAATATACTGTGCGATGTGGCTACGTGAGATCCCATAGGGAGCGATCCAAGAAGTTAGGGGAGCCAGCAATCCTCTTGCATGGATCTTAGTCCAACGGGAGCAAAGTATTCCTGGCTTTGTGAAGTTCCATGGCCTTCCAGGCATGATTGAGTGAGCCCTTGGAGTTCTTTTCTTGGGTTCTGGTCTGCCAGCAACACTATCAGGTACATATGTTTCCCATCTTCTGGCTCTTAATGCAAGACGAATTCCCAGGCTAGAACCATCTTCTCGTACTATCTCAAAGCATGTTGCTGAAAGCTAGCGGTTTGTTTATTTCTCACACCAGTTTTTATAACCCTAATGGACTCTCAAAGCTGTTGACAGGAATACTGGAATTGCAATATAAAACAATCAGACATGAAAGAATTACTGATTGATTCACTTATTGAATGAGACCATATTGATTGGATTGCCCCTCCGAAAAGCCGGAACTTAAGAGCCACGTCATAATCAGAAGTCTAAAGATCTGCACCAAACCCAACCATATACAGCATTCATTCTCGAAGGCCCACCCCAAGGCAGGGTGAGCAAACAGCAATGAGGAGGCCTTCTTTGTGGTGGCTCCCTGTAAGGGAACGATCTCCTCAGTGAGGCCCACTTGGTACTCACATTGCTACCTTTTTGAAGCTAGGTTAAGACCGTCATCATTCAGGCATATGACAGCATATGATAAAGTTTTAATCAGGTCTTGAACTCTTGTTTAATTGTTCAAAATACTTTTGGATATGCATGCGTCCCTCTGGATATTGTATATCTATAAGCTTGTGTGTATGTGGTTTTTATTATACATTTCTAAGACTGCATTCTTTGCAAAGTCCCAGAAGCTGGGCTCACTGAGTGGGCTAAAATGTAATAAATGAAAAATGAAAGGAACACCAAAGATGCCAACTGAGTGTCGACAAGCGGACTAAGGGGTGAAGCAATTTGTACATCCTCCTTCCCTCTTTTGTGCTTTGCACATGAGCAAGAGAACCTCAGACTTCTTCCGGCAGGCAGTGCGGCACCCTCTGCAGATGTGGAACTTTCTTTGGAAAGGGACCACATTGGCAGCTTCGCAACTGTGCCCTGCCCCAGCTGCAACTTCCGGACCGGGACTAAGGGCAGCTACACTTGAAGCAGATTGCAAGAATCCAGTCTCAGATAATCTCAAGATATTTTAGTTCAGGATCAGTCATAGAAGTAGCAGGCACTTCTGCCCACCAAGGATCCAGTGACAAAGTCGGATTTAGAAGTACAGCAGAACCCCCATTTCCACATGGATCTGTTCCAAGACCCCCAGGAGATGCCTGAAACCATGCATAATAGCAAACACAGCAATCTGTTTCCCAATACAGACTTTTGGATCCCTTTGACCTGGTCCAGGAGCAGAAATTGACTGCTTTTAACAATGGTGATTGCTGCAGCCCTAGAAGCTGGACTCAAATACTAAGCTGGACTTAGTATTTCTTTTTTCCAATTTCATTTGTTCTTACCTCAGCATGCAATTTTCCCCCTTGTCCTATTAAATAGAGATTTTTTCCTTACACCTTAAGATTTCTTGTGGCACTTTACAACATGTTATGACTTCTCTTTCAGCCAAGGGCAACCACAGTGAACTGCAAATGTGGTGTCTGGCCCAGCAGATACGGGGGTCTTGCTGTACCCTTTACCTTCAGCAGGATTTCAGGCAACTGTCCTATTTCTAAGACCCATAACCCACAGGCTGTACTGGACTTCCTGCATAAAATTCACCCATCTTATTGCTTCCTTCAAAACTCTTGTTGTATTTTGCCCAATAGAGTAACATCTGCCTTCAAATGTTGCTTCACATCAGGTGTAGGAAGCGTGTTACTCTCCTGATGCTTTAGACTACAAATCCCATAAGTCTTGTCCATTGATCATGCCAGCTGTTGTTTAGCAGGGTTGTCATCCAAAACGTCTTGAAGGCATCATGTTGTCTACCCCTGCTTTAGATGATGCAACTAACGGAAGTGCTATATCAAAACCGATCGTTTGTTTCAGTATGACTATTCCATTCACCAAGTCCAGCACAACATATATTTTCATCATTCCTACAAAACGGAACTCAGCCATACCTATGACAAAATTTGTCTTTGAAGGAGATTGTCCAAACTGCTGCTCAATGTATTTTGGCTTGTATGTCACCATACCAATGAGAGCATTGAACTGGATGACGCTGGAGCAAAGATACAAGAAGTAAACTGGATTCCCAAAGAGGCTCTTCAGTGAAGGCAGAAAATCTGAAAAACAAAACCAAATGGTTGCCTTATGGTTGACAAGGAGGCTGGAAACCAGTGGTGGGAGTCTGGCATGCAAAATGATTTTCCCAGTGAAAGTCGCTGCAGAGGCTTGGATCCAGTTTCAGGTATACGTAGAGTAGGACCACTGAAATAAATAGGACTTCAACTGTTCTTGAGAAAAACAAGCCCCATTGATTGAAGTAGCATTACCCTATGTATGACTAAGTCTGGATCCACTCCACTGTTGCAACGATGTCATATTGGGTCAGCCAGTAAACCACGCATGGAATGATAGCCACAATGTGAGGAGAAGACATGGTTATGGTTATGTGCTGACTTCCCAGAAGGCCAAGCAATCTTGCGATTGCTGCCATGAGCTGAGGAAACGCTAGCTGAATTGAAAGCTAGATCAAAAGCCTGAATGACTGTCAATTCACCAACCAGGTGGCCTCACCTTTAGCCATCTCAAGAAACTTGACTTGCTCCTGGTAGCTGATGCCACAGTCTCTGTTATCTTCTGTGATGAACTTGGATTGCTCAGAGGAAGTGCTGGAATCTTTTCGGGCCTCTGGCCGCGGAAGATGCTTTGGCAGGAACCAGAAGGGGAGAGCGGCAAGAACACTGATTACCCCTGATATCAAATAGCCGAGCCACCAAGCTCCTACCCACTGGGAGTCTTTATGAGTGATGGTTATACTGTCTAGGGAAAGAAACAAAGGGTTCCGTCATCTACAGAAATGATCAAAAGATTGCCAGCTTTTCAGATATGGAGCAAGGGTGCCGTAAGGTGTTTGCACTGGGAACCACAAGAAACACATCTACCCCTGCACATGAGTAGGCATGCTGCTTCTGATACTTATTGGTTCAGTGGGGAAAGTATTCAAAAGTTTTTCAAAGATGGGCAATGAATTTGTCCTGTTTACATTTCAATACAAACTTAACAAATGGATACTTCCATAAACTAAATAACAAGCAAGCGTGTAGGTAGATATTGACACCTGCACTTTTCTGAAGTTTGTGATGCAGTTCATACATGAAAAGCTGCATATAAAATGTGTACATTTGAACAGGTGTGTAAAAAATGTGCACGTTCTGAAAAGGGCAACAGAAACTGCTTATTTAACGGAAAGAGTTCCTTACGAAACTCCACGTGGGTGTTTCGAACAATGCACACAAAAGTACATACACACTTTCATGCAGACTGACATGTTAACAGTAACAAAAACCTGGTGCAGGAATAGAATGAACCAAAAATAATGGGAGAAAACAAATGGAAACAGGAATAAAATCAAATTAATTGCATTCAACCATCTCTACCTAGTATATGATGGTTCACAGCCATGTTTGAATAAAGTTGTCTACATTCTCAGCAAGAGATGCATCCAACTTTATATTTCCTATCCTGGGGCGAAGGAAAAGGACAGCCTGAGCATGGCAAAGGACATGTCTGAGAAAATATGAGTCGATCCCTGGGCAGAGAAATGCTCTGGATGAAAATGCGTGGGCATTGGGAATAGCAAAGCTCAGCTCTGGTTTAATCCCCTTCTAGATGAGTGATTCATGGCTTGGGTGTACTTGGGTGTACTCAGTAGCCTTGGTAAAAAAACTGACAACTCAAAGTGATATGCTGAAGTAGTGTCTGTTATATAAGACCTACTCCATGAGAATTTAGTTGGCTTTATGTACTTAGCCAAAACTTGCAAGTGGGTATTATGCACACATTTATTTTCTATAACTGAACAGGTTTTAACGTTTGTATATATCTGTTTATAGCAGGTCCAGGGGATAACTGTGGAGAGTCCGGGGTCCATTTTCATTCCTCCGCCCCCAACACACACATATACCACCACTGAAATCACCACCAAAATCAGTGCTTAATGCTGCCACAAATTCTAGCGGCTCAACACAAGGCCATTTACTATATGGAAACAGGGCATGAGCTGAAGGCATACGGCATGCCCAGAAGCCCCCAAAGCGTATGGCTCAACATTTCTACAAGGCATGGTCTTGGCATGCTCTGTTGTAAAGGGGAAATGTGTGTCTTTGCTGCTGCAAACCTTAAGTGGCATGGATCACCCCCGAAGGGGCAGAAGAGAGCCAGGGGGAGGCCTGGAGCTTTGCCCCATGTGTTCACACCACCACCCTGATCTGATCTTCACAAACTACATTGCCAAGGACGGCTCTATGGATAATAACCTTGTTTGTGTCCCTTGCATGTTGTGTCGCTAACAGAAATGGGCAGAACGCTCATACTCACCCATGTCTACAAAGCCAATGTCCACATACAGATTGGCACACAACGACCCCAAAAGAAAGCCAAATATGGGGCCAATGATTGCGACTGTCTGCACGCACCCTGTAAAAGAAAGCAGAAGGGCACGTTACTTACAAGCACGGTTTAATCTTTTGATCGAGAATAAGCCAGAGGGAGAGAGGAAGGAGGAGAAAAGGAGGAGGACAACTCACTCAAAGGGATGGGTTTTCATGTGTTCTGCAAAATTTCTGTTTTCCTGACTCCTTGGATTCAGGTTGAAGTTGCCATGTGCCCATGACTGTGTTGGTCGCCAGCTTTCTACCTCTCCTACAGTACCGGAGCCTGGAATCACCCCGTGAAGCTCTCCATTGCTGCCAGTGGGAGCGAGGCCCATGGCTGGCAGCAGAAAGCCACCCAGTAAGTTTGAAGGCTGCGTGGGGACTAGAAGCCAGCCGACCAGCCGTGCACCCTTCTCCACAACACCATCCTAGCTCTCTGTAGTGTGGCACAGTGTGCGTGTGTCTGAGAGAGAGGGAGGATGAGGAGGAGGACGAGAAGAAGGACCGATAGAGAGATGTCTTGAAGTTCTAAAGAAAACCATACCAATATAAAAGGCTGCATTCTCCTTTGTGGCATAATCATCGATGTATGCGATTCCCAAAGGCTGGATTGGTGTTTCCCCAATTCCACGCAGCAGATTGCCCAGCAGCACATAGATCCACATGGAAACTCCAGCTTCCTTTTCACACCCTGTGCATACAAGCCCGAGAATCTGTGGGTTGCAGTTTCTGACACCCTGACACCTTTCAGATGCACAAAGTCTCCCACCTGCAAAACCCTCCGTCGCTTATTGAGGCTTGTCACACACAAGCTCCTTTTCTAACACAGAAGGCATCAGGAACTTCTAAAAGGATTCCTTCTTTACTAATAGCTTACTTTAGTTGTTTGATAAGACAAGATTCAGCTGTGGATCTCACACAATAAACATCAACTTACTATTCAGTTATGACATGCTTGTGCATGATTTATTAAAACTAGAGTTGTTAAGTCCTATCAAGTAATTGAAATAAGATCAATCAGCCATGCAATACATTCACAGTGCCAATGAAATAATTTAGAACATTCTTCCCCAGCCTAGCACTCTCAAGATAGGTCAGACTACAGCTCCTGTCATCCACAGCTGACATGATGGATCTGATGGGTGCTGTAGATTTCTGAGGGTGCCAAGTTGGAGAAGGCTAACCTGGAGTTAAAATATAACTTTAAAGTCAAAGCAAACTTGAAAGGATAAAACATTTTTTTCAAAGGCTAAGCTGAGAACTAGGAAGCCTTGCTGTATTCCTTGGGGCCAAAGCAACCAGACTGAAACAGAGCCCAGCTTAAATATTATATTTTCAGAGCATGCAATAAAGTATCTCATCATGTGCAGTTCAGCCTAGTCTTACCTGCATGGATTTTTGCCTGAGATCTTTCCAAGAATGAGACGGTTATTTGGTTTTGCTCCTGCAGACACGGAGAGATGCTGATAGTTGAATTGGAGGAAGAAAATATCTCATACCTATAGCTGTGTAAAAACCAACAATTGCCTTACAAGGATGCAACCTGATCATGTTTTGGGGAAAGGACACTTCTAAGTTACTTTAGGTTCCAAATAATCCTACAGTACGTGGTCATGCTTTCCGACTTTTCTGTCTGAAAAATGCTATGCTAGTTACGAAGTCATGTCCGACCCATCGTGACCCCATGGACAACATTCCTCCAGGCCTTCCTGTCCTCCACCATCCCCCGCAGTCCACTCAAGCTCACACCAACTGCTTCAGTGACTCCATCCGGCCACCTCATCCTCTGCCGTCCCCTTCTTCTTTTGCCATCTATTGTTCCCAGCATTAGGCTCTTCTCCAGGGAGTCCTTCCTTCTCATTAGGTGGCCGAAGTATTTGAGTTTCACCTTCAGTCTCTGGCCCTCTAAAGAGCTGTCAGGGTTGATCTCCTCTAGAACTGACTGTTTTGATCTCCTTGCAGTCCAAGGGACTCACAGGAGTCTCCTTCAGCACCACAATTCAAAGGCCTCCATTCTGCGGCGCTCAGTCTTCCATATGGTCCAGCTTTCACAGCCATACATTGCAACTGGGAAAACCATAGCCTTGACTATATGGCACTTTTGTCAGTAGGATGATGTCTCTGCTTTTTAGTATGCTGTCTAGATTTATCATAGCTCTCCCTTCAAGGAGCAAGCATCTTTTAATTTCTTGGTTGCAGTCACCATCTTGGAGCCCAGGAAAATAAAATCTGTCACTAGCTCCATTTCTTCCCCATCTATTTGCCAGGAAGTGAGAGGACTGGATGCCATGATCTTAGTTTTCTTAATGTTGAGTTTCAAGCCAACTTTTGCGCTCTCCTCTTTCACCTGCATCTAGTGGCTCTTTAGTTCCTCTTCACTTTCTGCCATTAGAGTGGTATCATCTGCATATCTGAGGTTGTTGATATTCTCCCGGAAATCATAATAACCCTTTTCATTTACCTTGAAGAGCAATGCTCAACAAAACTAAACCCTCTTGTATATGTAAGCACATTAAAGCCAATCTGTATCTTATATTATATATCAGTTGTACAATACAATACAATAGTTATTTATCAGTTATATAGTGTCAATTTTATGGCAAGCAATTTTTAAAGGTGGACATATGCATTCTATGATAGAAAACTGGAACTATACAGATATTTTTCTGATATTTTAACGACCAGTTACAATGTACTTACTGTCCCATAAAGAACTGTGGCATGGCAATCAGAAATGTTCCAACTGACATGATCAGGGAGCCGGCTCCAATTATCTTTGGCCTATGAAGTCTGGCTCCAAAGTAGCTCACCAGAATTATTATTAAAAGATTCCCTTTAAGAAACATAGAAAGAATAACCAAGAAGATCTATAAGAAAACCAGACATTCATCACTTACAAAGCATATCTACGTAAAAATCTCAGTGTATGTCACATACCAATTTCAAAACTCCCATCTATTAACCCGACGAGAGAAGAAGGGATATCAAATCTTCTTTCTATCTGAGTGATGGTACTTTTCAGATAACTTCCCGACAGGGCTTTTGCAAAGTAAACAAATGATAATGCACCAAGAAAAATCTGCAAAAGAAAATAGCAGCCTTTAACAACATTGTGCCAAACTGTGAGCAAGCCCCACTTAAATCAGTGCAACTTACTTCTGAGGAGACATGCCTGGAATTGTGTTATAGTCCTAAACACCCTTCCCAGGAAGAAACTCCTGTTTAACCTAATGGGATTTACTTTTGAGGAAATATGCTTAAGGTTGCACTGGACAGCTGAAGTCCAATGTACATTTCCCTGGGAATAAATCCCATCACACTTAATGGGCCTTACTTCTGAGTAAACATAGTTAAGATTACACTGTAAGGATATTTGACCTCTGATGGTTGCACACGTATCCAATTTCCCCTGGTGGTTACAGGAAACAGCAAAGCTGAGTTCAGTTCTTAATGAGACAAATGCTTTGACATTCTAGCCTTTTACGGATAACAAGCAATGCCTTCCAAAGCTTATCTTAACCTGCAAAATGCTGTAAAATGTAGAGGCAATAATGCAAGTTACTCATCAAACACTATTAGAACATCAGGCTGGGAGATTTGTACTGCCTGTAAAGTCTTAATCTTTAAAAGGGTTAAAATGTTGAGTCAACTTTGCTGAGCTGGAAAGACAGAGGCCTGAATTTGGATGGGTGACCACCTGTGGAAGTCGAACAGGGAGCTGGAGTTACAGGCCCCTTCTGTTTCTGTTTTCTTGTATTCTAAAACAGAGCCAGCTTGTTTATTGGAGTTTCTCATTTAGTTTAGTTCATCTTGCCCTTTGAGCATGCTTCCAGTTTTAGGTATAGCTCACACGGAAGACTGAAAAAAGCAAGCCTCATGGCTGCCTACAACCTCCCACACTCAGTGGATTATCAGTGCCCAATGGGGGGCAGGCGTACAGAGTTGAAGGTTGCCTCCAGACTTTTCCTTTCCTACAAAGCACAGGCTTGGCCGATTTCAGCAGTCTAAGCCATTTTCTCTTCTCTACAGCACGAGGAGAGGCAGAAGTGCCATGAGCTTAAAACCCATCTTGACAGAACTTCACTCTTCTTCTATGCAGCCTCCAGAACATCCACAAACCTCCATGGCCAAGGCTGGTCTTCCAACCTCAGAACCGCAGCGGGTGCAGAACCAACTATGCCTGCTACAAGGTTGGAATAAATGTTCTCCGAGGTTGGAGTCACAGCTCTGACCTCGGAGACTCCTCCCAAGGTCAGAGTTGTACATCCTCAATATATATATTGTTTTGTGCTTCTGTAATTGGATCCCTAATATAAGATTTGTTTCTGCACATCTTTAAATGTTGATCCTCACAAAATTAAGAGAAGTGATACTTTTAATTGCTTGGCTTGTGCATGGACTCAGAAGTTCAAAATGAGGTAGGTTCACATTTTTAATTCAGTTCATTTTAATTTGAACTGAATGACATTGTCAAACAAAGTTTCCTTGCTAATGAAGGCTGCCTAATTTGGTAAAAGCAAAGACAAAGTCTTGACTATGATTCAACTCAACTTGGATTTTTTGATTTTCAAGGAAAAAATAGTTTGGGGTTACAGCTGTCTGGTCCAACAGTTTTAGATTTACATTAAGATCCCTGGTCCACTATTGGCAAAAACTCCCATCTGAAACCCATCTGTGGCCAGGTATTCAAATGCTGTAATTTCCCCTCCAAAATTTGAGCCTGCAGGATTTCTGAGTATCGGTGCAAAGCCAGAAGAGAGGTACAAGGTTCGACTCCATCAGATTCTGGGTGCATCTTCACCAAACGATCATTTTCACCCAAAAGTCCATTTTCACCTAAAGAAAAGCTGACACAAGATTCATCTTTTAATACTCATTAAACAAGGCCAATGTGGGGAACGGCAAAAACAAACCCACACCCTGCTTGGTTAGCAACTGCATGTCCAACGCAGAGAAACCTCCAAACCTGGGGAGCGTGTTGGCACTTTAATATGATTGTCTGTATATTTTTGGAGTCGGTAAGCTTCCTTTAATGGCTCAGTGGCAACTGAACGTTTATTCAATGAAGGGAATCGGATTACGACTGAAGCAGGCAGAGGGGGAATGATATTATTTGTCTCATAATACAAGTTTAATGAACACAACTAGCTTTTAATTCTCCAAACAAGGGACATAGTGAGGTGCCAGTCTGTCCTGAGACTTGGAGAAGATTTGATCCCCTGGTGTCAGTAGGTGCCTCACTCTTGGGATCCGAGAAGGAACCCCTGCTGGGAAAAGCTAGGAGTGGGTGGGTTGCCCAGCGCCTTGTGCCAGCAACAGTCCAAAGTTCTGGGAGCCAGTGTGGTGCAGTGGTTAAGAGCTGGGACTGGGACTCAGATGATCTGGGTTCAAGTCCCCGCTCAGCCACGGAGCCAACTGGGTGACTTTGGGCCAGTCATAGACTCTCAGCCCAACCTACCTCACAGGGTTGTTGTTGTGGGGATAAGGAGGAGGAGGAGAATGATGTAAGCTGCCTTGAGTCCTTTGCAGGAAAAGGCAGTATATCAATCAATCAATCAATGTATGTTTTGATTATACTCAGGCTTGATTGGGCCTTCACAACTTGTCATTCACCAAGCCAAACACTGTCCACAACCTAGAACCTTACGGTGCTTAAGAACTGCCACCACGCTAGGCTAGCACTTTCTCAAGTTTGCTCATTTATTTTGGGGTGGACCTAAATTCGTCCTCCCGGAATTTGATGGTGCCAATTTGGGCAACAGAAGGTGGGCCCAGACCATCATGCTAGAGAAAGTTGAAGGCAGAAGACCAAAGATGGGATGGATGGACTGCATCCAGAAAGGAATGACCTTGAGGTTACAAGAGCTGAGTAGGTCTGTTAAGAACAGGATATTTCGGAGAGAATAATTTGTATGGTCACCACAAGTCAGAGATGACTTGATAGCACATAAAAACAACAAATATCTATTTATAGTTTAGTTTATAGGGAAAGAGATATGTGTTGCTGCAGCTAGCTGAAAAGAGTCCATCAGATGTGGAGAGGGAACACCCAAGCTGATTTCTAAAAATATTCTGTCTTTTAGGAGTGCTCTTACACCCTCCTTCTCTTAGCCCTTGTGCCTTTGAAAACGCTCTGCAGGATTTGCTTACACAAAAGATGCTAAACCCAATAGCCCCGTCATTGGAATCTCTCTCCACATAGGGAATGGAGGAGCACCCGACAGGATCCCACAGAGATATTGTGAAGTTTTGTGACTTCCTATATCCATACGCATGTGCAGAAATTCCTAGGTGACTTCTGCAAATGAATGAAAACCGAGAAATGCAATGGAAGCGGACCTGACTTAAACATGTGATTGTCAATATGCATTGGTATTTGCCTGAAAAGGAGGGAAATATATGTACTGGGACACTCTGAAACCATGCCTGGGGTTGCCAGGATGTGCACAAGAATGACCACATAGACTATCTATCTGTCTGATTGACTGACTGACTGACTGATTCATACTCTGCCTTTCTACCAGGAAAATGGCACTCAAAGTGGCTAATGATTCTCAAATATTGGACATCCGATGCAAGCGACTGAATAATGAGAGGCTGTTTTGTTTTGGCTTGGGTGTATGTGGGTGTGTGCAAAATTTCTCCAAAAACGAACAGAATAAGTTTTAAATAAGAATCTATTCTAATATGCTATTGGTTGGTTCTTCAGGAGGGCCACATTCACATCTCCCGGTGTTTACCATACCTTCATCCCACCACATAATGTTTGTTTCTCCTTTGAAGTGGATGATTCTGATCTTGAAGAAGACCTGTCAATGGACATCACTGTGTTTTTCAAGAAGAGCTGCACATTCTCTTTGGGTGGGATTTCCATCTTAATGGTCCCTTTCACTCAGTCTGGAAGAAATCAAAATAAAGGGCATGGGACCAAGTGATCTGAAGTTACTTGCACCCAATGGAGCCTGCCAGAACAGTAAGAACACTTTCTGAGCCACTACTAAGAGGCATTAGACTGGGATACCAGAGACGGGGCCTTCTTGGTGTTGGCCTCTGTTGCTGGAATTCCCTCCTTTAGGACATAGGTGTAACTTGGTCCTCGTTGGCTTTTAAGAGACAGTTTTATTATGATCCACATCTGTCTCTTTGGCTAAGAGCTTTGTGCTTTGGCTCGTGCTTTGGCTAATTGTTGCTGCGTGACTTGAGGGGCGGTGAGGAAGTTTTCACATCTTTTGTCAAGGGGCCCTGCATGAGTCCAGCAGAACCTGTGAGGTGCAGAGAATTTGCAGGCATGTTCTAGGGTGCCCACTTCATCTTTACACTTGAAAAGCTGCATTTGAGCATGTTCAGCAGTAAAAACGACCAGCCCTCAAAGGAGACGCTGACTCACACAGAGTGACAGTAGCAGTATCCTCAGTGAGAAGGCAATCTTGCTGCATCTCTCTCTCTTGCGATTCACTTGCAGTAATTACACTTAAAGCAGAGATGGAGGACAGAACCCATCAAGGGAGGCCTCAAAGCCAGAGACATGGAAGGGACCAGGCTGGATGGAAGAATTATCTGAGGAAAGTGCAGCTCTATCTTTCTGTCTCCCCCAGCAAAAACTCTGGTCCACGTTCTGGCCATCGCGCACCTTGACACCTGCACTCTAATCTCGCTTGCCTTCTTTTGCCTCACGTTGTCTGAATGCATGCCTCTGCAGCCAGAACTTTCTCACACTTCTAGGATCGTAACGACCCTCCTCTCTCAAGCCGTACCCTCCTGCCCACTTCTGGATCCAGCACAACCTTGTGGTCCTTGCCATTAAAGACCTCTGTGGCCTTAAGCTCCCCTTTTCCAAACTGCTGCTCTCCAGATGTTCGGACCACTGCACACCTCCTCCGTAACCATTGGCTATGCTGGCTGGGGCTAATGGGAGTTGCAGTCCAAACAATCACAATGGCACGATTTTTTCACTAAACTTGGCAATAGCCATGCGTTCCCATTTCATACTGCAATTTATCCTGAGATAGTTATGATGCCTGAAGGATGTTTAGCTGAAACAATCATGCATTTCTTCCCCATTTAATGCTCCCACTCCTCCCTTCTCCTTGCTCAGCATTTTCCCTGAGCTGAATTTTAGTTTGTAAGCTCCTTGGGGCACAGTCCTTAACTGTCTGGGGTAAGCTAGCTTTCTTTGTTGGGTTTTGGGATTCTACAATCTTTGACTTAGTAACCAATAATATGGGCACTAGTTAGTCATTTCTTCAATTGCTTATTTATTTACCTTCTATACCGCCCAATGCTCAAAGCCATCTTGGCAGCTGACAATTCCTAAATAGGATGCTAATATAATAAAAACGCTTTGAAATAATGCATGCCCAATCACATCAGTGTTAGTTTATTTCTCTTTCTGGATGTCTCTTAATCCAGCACATGGGTGATTTGGTGAAGTAGCTTGAATTGTAAGTATGCGTCCTTATCTTCCTTAAAAAACTTACTTTCTATCCAATGACACCCATCTTAAAGTTCTGCCCAAAGCTAAACTTTTGAAAGATTTGGCATGATGCCATTTTCATATTAGGCCTGCTTCTTGGAAGTCTCTGGTAATGACACTAGTCCACATGAACTAAGATGTAACCTTGAGTGAAATATGCATGTACAAGAACAGAAAGCCTTGAGGACTACAGAACCCCTGATGAAATCAAACTGCAGTACAGCCTTCAGACTATAAAATCCATAGATGACCACTCCTGAATTTACAAAGTCATTGCTTGAATTTTTTAACATGGAATGAGAAACAGAATCCCTTCCACAAATTAATTCTGATTCAATCATGCATGCCTCATTGCTTTAAATGGGAGTTACAATTATAGGCTTCTTCAAAAAGTTTCTGCACTTTTAAAAACTATTAAGAATTTCAAAAACAAATGACATCATTCTTCTACATAGTCACCTTCCTTTGTGATGCTTTTTTCCCAGTGTCATACCAACTTTTTAATGCCATCAGCAAAAAATATAAAAAATATAAAAGTGCAGAAACTTTTTAAAGACCCCTCGTATATTTGGCAAGATTAACTGCGTCTGTGTCACTGAATCAGTGTAACTCACTTCCAAACTATGCGCAAGAACAGAATCCAGCTCAAGTTAGTGCAAGCAGTCAGCTTATGCAATCCACCATGCAACCTATTGCACACAACTCTTGTGCAATACATGGTCCAAGCTGTTGTGCAACCGGTTGTGCATTCCACTTGTGAAACCTGTTGCACATCTGCTTGTGCAACAGGTCGTTCTAGCATGAAAGGCAATCGCTTAAACAACAGAAAGATTCGGTGGAGCTCCAACAGCGCCAGCTGAGATGGCAGAATGATACGGTTGGAAACTGCCCCATGTGCCAATGGGGAGGTGCAGAATATGCTTGGCACCTAGAAGGAGACCCTTCTTCATGGGCAGAACACGTCTGAACACGCATCCACTCTTCTGAAGATTTCCATCTTTTAAAAAAGCAATGGCAGCTGTAGCAACAGGAGGAACAAAAACATCCTTTCAGAGTGCACAGCACTTCAGCTCAGCCAGACCTTTCTGACTGCTTAGATGCTGCTGCTTTTACTCCAGTGGGTAGCAACACTCATCCTTTTACAGCTTTTACTACAGCGGGTAAATTAGTCCAAAGAAGATAACCCTTTCTCTCTTCCATCTTGCACATACTTAGCCAGTGTTCCCAGCAGGAAAACAAACTTTCTCTAACAGACTCTTAATTTCCTTGTAAGCCTTAATAATACACACAACCAAAGCAGACACAACGGGGAAATCCTTTCAAGTGATTCTTTCATCACTTGAAATACATTGGCAGGTGATGGAAGACACAGAAAGAATGGTGGTCTGCTGGATCCAGAAATAAAAAGTCAGCATTAGAGAAGAGAAAAAGACGAGGGGCCGTCGTTACCTTGGAAGCAGCAACATTCAATCCTTGGTGGGTGAAATCACGAGCAAATACAGATCTTCTTTTCTCCCGGCCTCTAGGTGGAAGAAGCCTGCAGGCAAACCCAGTCCAGGGTAGATCTTGTATCTGGAGGTAGAAAGAGGAGACAAGAAAATAGAAGGGGTGGAGAGACTAGCCCTTTGTTTTCCCAGTACGATTGGTATCTTTCTGAGTTGTTTCTCTTCACTCCCTCACCTTCAAGGTTGGTCTTTTCCCTCCCCCACTACCAATTCCAGAACACACAGAAGACATGAGCGCAACAGCAGCTGAAATATTTCATAGCAGAAACAGTTAAACATTCTTGAGATCTTGCTTTACAACATACAGCAAGTTTGACAGAATGCATGTGATAAAGCTTTCTCACTTTCTCTCTCTCTCTCTTTTCTCCTTCTAAAGACTTGATCTCCTTAATTGCTTGTTCCCAGGAAATAAAAGACTTCATGGGGGGAACCTGCCAACCAAAGGGAAGGGAGGGTACAATGAAGAAACTTTATTTTTCCTACTCAAATGCTTTTGCAAAGTCAGCTCTCCACCACGGCCTCCCATCCCCCACCAACAGATTATTTAATGGGCAGTGTCTTTTCTAGGTCCGTAATATCTTCAACAAGGGTGCCACTTTGTTAATAAAAATGAGTACTTTTATATCCATGTTTTTCTCTGGGACTGACATGCTTTATTCAGTCAGAGGACTTTTTCTAGGGGTGCTTCCCTACAAGGCTTTTCTTGGGCAACCCTCTGGCCTCATTCAAGGAAGTTTACAAGAGCTCTGGGTGTCATCACTTTCCATTCATAAACCTCTCATCTTTTGTTGTTATTGTTATGTGTTGTCAAGCTGTCTCTGACTTACAGCAACCCCATGAATGAAAGCCCTCCAAAAGGTCCTATCCATGACAGCCCTGCTCAGCTCTTCCAGATTCGAGGCTATGGCTTCCTTTATGGGGGTCTGTCCATCTCATGTCACCTTTTGCTTCTCATTTAATCAAGAAAATGGCAAGGAGAGAAAGATGGGAAACACAGTAGGTCTGGGATGGTAGATTAAGGGGCCTTCCATTCGGAAGCAGCACCCTGCTTCATGTTCTTCTTTCTTCCCCTAAGGGTCGGTCTGTCTGTCTGTCTGTCTGATTGATTGTTGTTTGGTTATAATCATTTTTGTAACTCCATTTTTTTATTATTATTATAACATTTCTATGCCGCCCCTTGCCGAAACCTCGGGGCGGCTTACAACATGATAAAATACATTGAAATACAATAGTACATAATAATGTACTAATTATTAATAATAATAATTAGTAATAATAATAATAATAATCCATGGCAGTTGAAGATAACGAATGTCAGGCTCACCTAAAATTTTCTAAAATCACTCTGAAGTTCATTTTAGCTCACTCTTAAATTCATTTTGTCTTGTTTTTCAGCTTCTACAAATGTGCATTTTAAGGAAGAAAGGTAGCTGTTCATGAGCGTGTTTCCATAACTGAGTATCTCCACAAGGACTGCGACATGGAACTGGATTCTTTTGGAAGGGGATGGAATGTACACTTCACTCTCTCTGCGTGTGCATCCTTGGATGCATTTTTCAAGCACAATTACAAGTTTAGCAATTTGCAAATATCTCTCTGGAAAAGCACCCCTGCTTGCCTTCATGTCCAGAATTGCATGATTTCCAGAGAGAAACAACATTCTAGTTTGGAGTCCGGATACCAAAATGCTTGATAATTCTAGGACTCTGGGTCAGTCAGTCAAAGTGATCCACAGAAGATTATCGGTTAAATGGAATTGCCATTTAAGCACTTGTAAATTACCCTGAGGCATTTGTCAGTTGGGTGGTATACCAACTGAATCCATCCATCCATTAATCACTTAAATCCATCTTTTAATAAATATACATTTATGCTGATTTCCCTCCACCCTGGTAAACACATTTAGGGTGGAATCCTATGTTTGCTTAGACGGAGAACAGGCCTACAACTCCCAGCATGCCTCTGCACCAATATTCACACTTTCCTGAATTTTGCGATGCAGTCTGTCAGTCAAGCAAGGTGTAGAAAAATGCATATGTTAGGGGGAAAGTACATGAAAAATGCATATTTTGATGCAATGAACATGGAGGGATATATTTTATTCATCAAAATTGCTTGCAAAAATGATACATTAGGGAAATTACATAAACATGCAAATAAGAATGAAAAATGGGCATACAAATGCACACAGAATTTTGCACTGATCTTTTTTCTCCCACAAAAGGGAGAACGTATGTTTGGAAAAGCAAGAAATTGGCTACAGCAAAAGTGAAAAACAAGAAACTGTCCCTGGGTTCACCATCCTAGAAAACATGCAGAATTCTGGAGCAGGTAATTGCAGAAGATCATTGCATGGTGGGCATGTCGTGAGCGGAGCTGGCTAGAGCCGGGGGTCAGACTAGATGACCTGGGAGACCCCTTCTGACTCGCTCTGTTTCTATTAGAGAAGATCAGTTGTGGAGCATAAGCTGCACATAGAAAATGTTATGTGTCGTCATTGATTGAGATATTCTCACTGCCTTGTGGCGTGGGTGCATAAGGTTGGGCCCATAACAGTGGAATTTCTCTACTGGTTTGGATTGCTTGTGATCGGTTTGCATGAAACTGTGAAACACATTAATTTGTCATCCAACTGTAGAAGAGGGACAAGAATATGACCCAGAATTCTCTGCAGGGTGTGGGATCTTGCCAAACACTGCTCTGGAACTGCAGACTTCGGGCTGGGGCATCCACTTTGGTCTCTTTTACTCGACTGGCAACCACAGCCTGGTATGAAATACACATTTGGAGTTCCATCCTGTGCCCTCTGACGGCACCATGCAGAAGAGCCGACACGCACGGAGAGTTGTGTGTTTCCCATGCATGGACCAAGGTGCATGTGGGATGGTCTGGCTGCTGTCGTGCCTTGTCCCATGCAACCAGGATAAGCCCCAGCTGCAGCGTTCCCCTCTCCCCACCACCTGGCATGTCCCCTTTTCATAGAGTCATAGAATAGCAGAGTCGGAAGGGGCCAAGAAGACCATCGAGTCCAACCCTCTCTTGTTGCAGAACACCAAGTCACACCATCCCACTCAGGTGACTTTGCCATCTCCAGAACCAAGTTCCTTTATTGAACAGGCCCCCCACCCACTTTTTCCTTGAGGGGGTGGGCTTGGCCTTTGAAATTCCTGCACCAAGGAATCAAAAAATCCTAAGGTCCCCCAGACAATGTTGGAAGGCCAAAGAATTACACCCCTAGTATTAAAGAATATTGAGCCTAGGAATTTGCTTTGAGTACCAGAACTGAACAGTGCTCACACAAATCCATTCCTGGTTCTCCTGAGCATTCTTCATTTCAGCAGCATAATTTTGGGTCAATGAGATGGATCAATTTGTTGTTATCAGATATATGTTCATGTCTTGCTGATCAACAGCACACAGTAGATACAGATCTGATTGATTGATTGATTGATTGATTGGAGTATTCATCCAATTCCCCATCCAATAATAACTCAGGGACAGTTTAAAATCAATCAAGAAACAAGATAGTCCCTGTTTATAAGTTTATATTTGAAAAAGTCATGACAAGCAAGGAAGAGGGGTGGGGAGGGAAGAGGGAAAAAAAAATTCCCAAGAAGAGACTGCAGGCTTCATTCATTTCTGTTTTGGAAACGGAGGGCGTTTGTCTCCTGGAAAATTTGAAGGAAGGATGAATAGATGCCATTGGAATGAAAGCCATCCCAACAACAACGCCATTTAGAGCGCAGGGTTTTGTGACAAAGGGTTGGCTGTACTTGCGTTACTGCAATTACAGACTGTTTATGTTGAACAACAGGATGAAAGTCTGCTTCATTCTTATGTATGACCCCAAGCACTGGGGATTTTGTGTCATGGGTCACAGAGTTTAGAATGTCTACTTTAAAAAAAACCAACTTTGTTTTAATTTCAGTGTTTCTCCTGCCCAGCAAAACACTTAGATGGCTGATTTTGGCCAGCTGAGAGTTTTGTCCTGGAAAAGAAGAGGAGGAGGAGGAGGAGGTGGATGCACCTCCAGTCATATCATGGCAGAGCTGCTCTCCTTCCCTCCCTGCCTCTTGGAACACCCACAACAGCCCATCCTTGCGGTTTCTCTTGTGATCTCCGAGCTATGTCCCCACAACTCTTGCCACTCCTGTTGTGAGAGTGGGAGGAGGGAACACTTACTTTAGAGCCCCCGTTCTCACCTTGGAGTGAGCTTCTGAGATTGGAACTGAAGCTCCCAAAGATGGCCATCTTGATCCACAGCTTAGGGCCTGATTACCTGAAGGAGCGTCTCCTTCCATATGTGCCCGCCTGTCCCTTAAGATCTGGGGCAGAGGCCCTTCTCTGGGAGCCCTCCTTGAAGATTAGGAGGGTGACTACCCGGAGAAGGGCCTTCTCTGTGGTGGCGCCCCAACTGTGGAATTCGCTCCCCAGAGAGGTTCACCTGGTGCCGTCACTTTATTCTTTTTGGTGCCAGGCTAAAACCTTTTTTATTTTCCCAATGTTTTTAGGTTTGGCCATTTTTAATATGGATTTTGTTGATTGGTTAAGAATTTGACTAGGATGCTTTGCTTTATTCTATTTTGTCTTATTGTTAATCTGCCTCAAGGCTACGGTAGGGATGGTCTTAAAAAGTTTTGAATGAATGAATGAATGTGACAGCTATTGAGTTCACAGAGTTGCACCCTTAATAGTAAAAAACGTTTAAATTTTAGAATACTTCAATAAACCAAGGTAAAAACCTAGTAGTGATACCAAGATTTAAAATATGCCAGGCTTTTAAAACTATAGGATCTGGAAAATAAAATCATTACCACCTCACAGTAGAAAGAGCAGAATTTAGGTGCCCTGGAAAGCAATTTTTTCACTTCTTCCCCATGTTTATAGTCTGATGTGCTCCACTTATAGAGAGATATCATGTCCCCACAGTTGGATTTCTACTCTGGTTGGAGACAGTGTTCAAACCTTGGAGGGAGAAATCCATGACCTGCCTCCTTTCCCCTCATGGCCAGCACAGAAAGAAAGCTACCCACTGCCTCTCTGAGGTTGACAATGCAACCT